TAAAAGTATTAAACTTCAATACAAAGGATTGTGGTGTTTTCTTGTTTTTCTAATTTACTATTGAAGATGTGAGTTGCATGTTTTCACAAAAATAATTGCTGTGAAAAACAACTAACCCTTCAATAGTGACAAAGACTCCCATTTGTCAAGCTGTATGCAGTCAACTCAAAAAAAGTCTGAATAATTAGGACTCTTATGTTCGATAAAGACTACGCTGTTGCCTATTCAAAGTTACGTTTAAAAAAACCCACATTTTGCTTCCTACACTCATAGTTAAAAAGCTAATCATGTCAGGGGACTCACAAAAGTCCTACATTGAAGTGTACCAAAGAAGTGTTATGAATAACTTCATGGAGGTCAACACCGCTGCAGTGTTTATTTTGTACATCAGATGGAGCTAGAGAGCGTAGCAGTGGAAGTCAACATGGCTGATAGTCCAGGAGTTCTTAAACAATATGTGACAGTAGCAATAGAAGCAATTATTCTTCAGAGGTCCTCTCGGAATATTTTTAATTCTTCTGGTCAGGCTGAAACACTGATAAATCTGCAAAAATTATTTAAAAAAATAAATGAATGATACCCACATTAAGAATCATGTTGTACTATGTATTTAAACAAAGGGATAAACATTCAGCTAAGGGAAAATGTATATCTTTTCAGCACAATCATTTATGAAATGTACAGCTTTGACATGAACAGATTTAATGTAACTGCACAACATTCCTCTTAAACCAATATGTGTTTAAGGTGTGTATGTGTAAAGTCTGACTGCCACTGGAATGCTGGCTCTCTATGTGGAAATGTCACACAGATCTGCCCCTTGCTTTTGAGCTTATGGGATTGTTTTGTCTGAAAATATTTCAATGCTCAACATGATGTTCATAAAGGTAACAGAGGGCAGCAAGGCAAGAAGAAAACACAACACATAACTCAGAAAACTATATTCACTAATCATTAACATATTCCAGAAACATAGCTTTACTGTAAATACTCATTTAAATGTGTGCAAAAACATATTGTTATAAAATCACAGACCATACAGTCAAGTGACTGTCAAACAAAGAAGAAACAAACCTACTCAACGTGTGTTTTCACCAACATGGCACGGCTCACACTGGCCAAACTTTAACAAGGGAAACCCTGAGTTGCAGAGGAGAGGTACAGTAGGCTACATCAACACTGGCCACAAACAGGGTCTTAAGGAAAATATAGTCCTAATTTTTAAGAAACAAGAAAACTGTTCTACCTATTGTAATTATGCAATAATTCCCGGCACCTCTTCTTGCCGACCAAAGATTCCAGTCAGCGAGAATATTTTTCTTTACCTCAACAAATCGTTTAATACAAAACAACAATCTCAAGCCAGATGGGCCTCTGTATTTAATACAAGATAATTCCTTATCTGTTGATCTATGTAAACTTGCAGGGAACTTTCAACTTCCCCTATGCATGTTTGGCATGTATATTGAAGTGCATAGTTTTACTCACAGTTTACTCACATATAAGAGACAGAGAGCTAGGGGAAATGTTTTTTGGAGTACGGTAGGATTTGAGAAACGTGTTGTTTTTATTTAATTTAGCCCAAAACAGATTAAAACAAATGACTACATGGCAACTTACACATGCTTACTTGTGTGGTAGACAACACCAAACATAGAGCCCTTGAATGCAGCCTCACGGCTGCGGCTCACTAATCAGGTGAGCTTATTTAAGGGACCTGGATGCCTGATACATGGCTCCTGCTTTTGCTCCTGAGTAAAGCGTGTTCTCTGTCGTGAACACATCCAGCACTGAGCTGATGTGAAGGCAAAAATAGCTATACAAAAGATTAATGTAGCTCATTATATTCATCAACATTGATATCCATCAAGAGAAAAAAAAATGTCCAGAAACAGGTCTCATGCAAATGACTTAATCTATTAACACTGCTACTGTTTCAAAATGACTTAAGTCGTTGCAATGATTGACAGCGAAACTATAATGTACTCAAACATGGTCTATTAAAGTTGTTTTTTTTCTACTTGTCATGGATTATAACTGCTTCCTGGTGTCTGCATTGTTTTTGTCCTCATCCAGAAGTGGGACAGACACCCTACCCTCCTCAGTTTATGTGGTTGTATCACTGCTGCTACCTTGTGCAGAAATAATGCAGCTATGTTTCCCCCCCAGGGTGTTTTTAAAATAATGACAACTCATTAGGGAATATTCCTGGAGTGGAGAAAGTCCCTGTCAACTTCTCTACCATCTTAAACCATTCAAGCATCTTGAACAGCTCGGACAGACATTTACATAATGTAAGAAAAACAATCTTACAAATAGGAGCCAAAGTGTTTCAAAAGTTTGTGGAAGTATCAGTTTAAATCAAAGTGTTTACAGAGGGCATTTGTAAAAACAAGCTAGCTAGCACCCCTGTTGGATGAGATTTGAGTTCTTTTAGTTAAGTACAGATAAGAGCCCATTACAAATGTCATCTCAGTTCTATCAACAGTTATTATCAGGTTTTATAAGAGTCTTTTTAAACACCCCTAGATGTAATTCCTTAACTTAGGAGAACCCTGTCAAATTGGAGGAGAAAAACGAAGTATTCAAGAACAGTAAATCTACTTCAAAATGGTACCTGGAGCGCATTTTTCATTACACTATTGACAAATATGACAGTCAAGGTAACATGTAATGATTATTTTATTTAAAGTCAAATGGCCACTCTGTTATTGATGGTGGTGTTACTCCTTTGATGTGAGGATCAATTCCAGTCGGGTCTAAAGAGGAAAACAAAATAATAATATTAACATCATAACCACATCCACCACAGGAACAAGTGCAGGGGGAAGATATATTTCTGTGGTATGAAGCCTTGAAACGTCACCTTGAGCTGCAGGTTGCTTCTCTTGAGGACCTGGATCTCTTCCACGAGCTTCTTTTCTTCAATCTGTCGCCTTTCAGTGTCTCGTTTTTCATTGGCATCATGTTGACACTTGAGTTCGTTCAGTTTCTTCTTCAGCTCCAGTTTCTCATTGTCAAGATCAGTAATCTAGGTGTTTGAAGTTTATTAAAATGCAGGATCAGTGATGTTAAGACCAAACATTATTTTAGAGGAATGCTGCCCTCTGCTGGATACTAAACCGAATAGCATTCGATAGTTATTCCTTCAGTGGCAAATACTGTATATTCTCTGTCGATGGATGCCAATATTGGCAAACATTCCACATTTGTATGCTATCTATTGTTGCTAAACACAACAAAAAAGTGAATGTCCTTACTTTTTTCTCCATGTCAACCTTTCCCTGCTCTGACTGAAGGGCTTTCCTCATACCAAAGGCCGCACTGCTTTCATACAGAGTCTGGTAGGCAGCAATATTCATTCGACTCTCATCTCTGACCCGCGAGAGCAGCAGGCCACTCTCAGCACAGTTGATGGTCAGCTGTCTGATGAGCTCATCTTAAAGAAACAGAAAATGAGTAAATGCAACAGTAACATATTTGAAGAGAAAAATGTGCTTTCAGTGGTATACAAAATGCTTCAGAATAAATCTGTATGGCAATGAAATTTAAGACATGTGTCCACAGAAAAACTGGTTAAAATTCTTGATCCTCAATCCTTGTCAACACAAAAGCCTCAGTGATCACAAATATCAGAGCCTCCTTCTCACCAAAGCACTGAGAATGGAGCTCCCTGCGGACAGAACAGATTCCTGTCTGGCTGGCCTGCCTTGGTGGCAGCTTTGTGTCCAGCAGCTCCTTTAGGTGAATAACATCTGTGATTATAGGAGGTGCACTGGACACTTGCTGCATCCACAGCTCGGTTCCTTCAGTCCATTCCCTGCAATAACAGAAGTTTAGATAAACTGAGTGGATTGAACTTAATGAATGGCACACTGTAGATGGATGCAACTGTACCTGGGTGGAAGGATGGCGTTTAGGATCTCCTGCTTGGTGGTGTCAGTAGAGGTGGGTTTTGATTTTGGAGGTGGTGGAACAGGGGTAGACTGTCCCCTCACCTGCTGTGGACCCACTTTTAAAGGGCGCCCCTGTTGTGAAAAGTATTTCATGTTACACAATTAATCAACTTTCTTTGCCTGAAATACATGATACAGTATATTCATCATCATTTAATAACTTTAAAAACCTTTGGGGATTGAAAGATGTTGATAAAAAACATAGAAACAGCAGCCTTTATAGCAGGAATATCTGTACGGTCAAAACTATTTCCGCCATCATGCCTAACTTTGACCACTAAACGTCGGCTAAACTCGGCTGGCGTTACTAAACTCACCTTTGGTGACTTTCTGTCAGTGCTTTCCCGATCAAAACTGGATGATCGTATTTGAGGAGAGATTCGGCTGGTGGATTCATCTTTTTCGATCTGATAATTTGAACAAAATAAAAGCAGAAACTCCTTTGGTCTGTGATTCAGCTACAGGGATATCGCTGCTGTTTTGAAGGATGCTGTTTTGAAGGATGCTATTCTTGCTCACTTTTTGTGTTGTCATAGCAACAGCGTCCCAGCGTTGCTTTTCAGTTTGACCGTCTGAATCAGTGGTTAGATTAATATTTAGTAAGTGGTTTTGTATCTTATTTTTTTTTTGTCAATGCGCCACACATGCATGCTTGTCAGCTAATTTTTCGAGTATTATGTTGCATCGTTTTTTTTTTGTATAATAATATATATATATTTTTTTAAAAAGCACTACAAAAGAGGAGCCAGGTCGCTTGTTTTGGTCTTGTTTCCATAGAGCCGGTTGCTTGTTTCTCTCGCGAGATCTGGCAACACTGCCCTGAAGTTGTTCTACGTGGTTCATACCTAATCTGTAAGGCTTTGCTAATATCATTAACATTAATCAATTAATTAGGCCTAGTTAGAAAAAAATATTAGCAGAGACTGCAGGAGCAGAGAGTGGTAACGCTGCCAAGACAACTATTGTGTTGCGTTTGAGAAGCCAATGTTTATTATCCATACATTGTTTCATTGCAGCACAGCTCATTCAAACATTTATTTCAAAATGACATATAATTTGACACTTTTTTATGAACAGGCGATATTATCATCGCCTGGTCTGAAGAGACGGCTGTGAGGGTTTAAAACAGGAGGCAGAGGTAAATGAAACGCTAGTTGTCTTGAACGTAACTCGCTCGGTGCTCGGAGTTGTGCAACGTATTTGTTTCATACATCGTGGGAGTTTCTGAGTTCAAGCAGGGGACCAACAACACAGAAGTGAGTATTTTGGTTTATATTAGATGAAGTAGCAGACTCTTTGAATTATCCTCTGTGTCTAGACACATGATAATGTCTGTGTGAAGTCCGACAGGATGGCTATCAGTGACAGGCTAGCTTATGTGAATGTTAGCTTACTAAGTTAGCCTTGAGGATGATGATGATGATGGTGATAACAGCCTTTAATGACGTTTTTAAACTTGCAGAACAACGTTTCATCTTTTTTTTTTTAATGTAACGTAAAGCCACAAAGGCGAGACGTTTTGCTATTTAAGTAATGTAAATAAACGTGTTTACTTTGTAGCAGCGCTGAGTGTGGCGAACAAGAAGTATCTAAAGATGTCATTTAATTGTTGAGTTTCCCTCAGAGGCTGAACATGTTAATCCCCCAGTTTTTAAAAAGTGTCAAATAACCTTTAACTTTCACCAGGTAGGTCAATAATTTAACTGGAATTCATGAAAAGAAATGTTGTTTTTTGTATGCTTAAAGGTACTTCTTTTTTAACTCTTTACACTCGTGAACACACACACACACACACACACACACACACACACACACACACACACACACACACACACACACACACACACACACACACACACACACACACACACACACAACTCCTGACTCACTTACAATTTAGGAAGTCCAACTTCTCATTACTCTAAAGCACTTTCTAGTCTAACATGATTTCATTAATTTCACTGAGATACCAATTGTTTCCCCTCATCAAAAGTGTAGCTTTAATAAAAGTAGTAGTCAAACATTTGACCCGCTGACCCTTGTAGATAAAGCACTCTGGCTGCTGGCAGCCGTGCTGCCTCTGTGGAAGCTGGTTGAAGATAACCCAGCGTAATCATAATTACCTCTGCTCAGGTGATAACAAAGTTGTAAGTGATTGATAAAGAAGAGATACTACACCTGCTGTCTTGTTTAATCTGTCACTTATCATTATTCTTTTCACCATGCCTTTTCAACAATGGTGTTGTTTACTATCTCTATTTCAGTGACAGTATTCCCCCTACTCCCCCCCCCCCCCTTCCCAGGCAGAGATCTGTCCTCATACAGGTGATTTTTTTTTTTTAAGGTAAAAAGTTATCTGTTTGGCAAAGTGTCAGTGTTTATTTTTACAGTCTATGGTGTTGACAGTAACTTTTCTGTGGTTAGAAAGTAGTGACCGGAGCTCAGTCCTCATCTGTTCACTCCCCCTGAGCTGGTTGGCTCTTTTTAGAAGATTGAAGAGACTGCTGGTTGGTCGGTTTAGGAGGAGTTGAAGTGTTTAAAGGTTCACTTAGGTCTTTTTAAAAGGAACACATGTTAGCTGTAAAAAGAGAAAGCAGGTTATGGTGATCCTTGCTGACATCGTGCATTGATGAGCCTATGTGTTTGTATGTTAGGCTCACTGTGTCCTTACACATCACTCATACAGGTCTTTTATTATACAGTTTGCACATTGGTCTTGTTTGTTCGAATGTTTAAACACAAAATTTTGGCATATTGTCACAGGCATAATCTGCTGAAGGCTTAGAGATGTGAGAAAAGTAGAGAGTAATCTAAATGGGAAATGTTTTTTTTTTTTTATGAATGGATGGATTATTTCATGTGTTCATCAGCAGTGATCCCCAACTTTGAGCTAAATCATAAGTCATTAGGGACTCAAGTGAAACAATCAGAGGAGCAAAGATTTGTTTTTAGACGACATGTTAACTGCTAAAAAATAACTTGTTACGAGATGTCATGTGAGTACTTGGCGTCATTATAAGGGATCAAATGTTCTATTGAGTTACATCTCTACAATGGACATTTTCTGTTCATAATTAAGACTGGCGTGCACACGAATCATTCAACTGCCAGCCACTGCAGACTGTGGAGAATTGTCAAGTGGAGCTCAAAGCAAACGTTATGAAGACAAAAGTCAAATGGAGGTACGATAGCTGGTGCAGTATGTGGCAACTTGTAGAGAGCATGATAAGGAACTGCTGCTCTTCTTTGAAAAGGTGCTGCAACATATTGGATTTACAATTCTTGGTATGGGTCCACATCGTATAGGACTGTCATTTTTGTTAACGACATAATCTGACCTTTGACCTTTCAGCCCTAGTTAGCTGTCAGGTACCCTCATATGAAAGGGTGTCAGTTTGTTGTGTACAATCTATGAGGTTGACTGCAATGCTGGCTGAGAACAGCACTTCTGCTATTTGGAGTTATTTTACCTAGTCAGAATAATATAGGTTTATTTAATGCACATTGCATCACCTTTGCAATAATAGAAATATAATTACCATTTCGATTACACATTCTTGCTGATCATGCAGGCCTGATGCTTGAGTAGAGAGCAGATAATGAAGCCGTCATATTTACAGTCTTTGAATGTAGAACTGTTCTATATAGACATGCCACTTCCCTCACACTCAGTCATACATTTCAGTTCATCTTTCACTCTATTTTTATTAGCAAAGTTATTAGACAGTTATTGTACTCATCATTGCATCCTGTATGAGAAGTTTGTTGGGCATCACAGGCTAACAGTAACACACGACAGGCATTGTTTTCTGTTTATTTATAGATATACCACTTCCCTATTAAACTGCCCAACAGTCGTTTTCATGGATAAACTGCTGGTCGGGGTTTAATTAAACGTGCCACTGTTCATGTTCATTCACAGTCTGCTCAACAAAATAAAAATTGTGTTAAATAGACCAGGGGTTCTCATCTGGTCTATCCTGAGGACCCAACTACCAACTCCTACTACCGTGACCCAAATTTCTGATATTATTCAACCAATCAGATTTATTAAATGAAAAATTGTGCAGTACAAAGCATGTGACGGAACAAAGAAACAGAAGAAAACAAATATGTGTAAGAAGCACCTTATCGACTTTTTGACACCTTTTCTTCTGCAAGGCACACATTCACGACCCACAGAAAATTGCTCTTGGAACAACTTTTGGTACAGATGGAACTTCACTATGTTGTTCATATAAATCATGCTAGATGCCACGTGTAGTTTTCCTGATAATACTTTTTTTGTCATCTCAGATCATCAGTGCAATGCTGCTTCTCAGACGCTGTCGCAGCCTAACTCGATTTGGCCCTCTCAACACTCAAAGGTAATGTACTGTTATCAAATGGCCTTTTCACATCACTGGTCTTTACTTGACCCGATACTAACAGTCTAGTTAAAATGAATCTAATCTTCACCCAGCAAGAGGTGTTTGTGAAATGATTACCCTTCATTATATAATTGAAGCTGATTTTTAAACAATTAAATTTATATTTTTAAATTAAGCAATTTTCTTAATGACGTAATCTGACAAATTATTTTCATCGATGTAAATTTTTTTATTCACATTTGCTAATATTTCATTTGTGACATCTTTCGGAAAAGTTTGTGTTAAATGTGTTGTGAATTTATTTTTTATTTTTTTTCAATTTCAAAGGAATCCAGTAGCACCTGCAGTTGCATCATGTGCTGTTCGCCTTTGGAGCAGCGGTGGCAGTGAGGACCAGAGATCGTACAGACATGCACACGGGCCCAGGTGGAGACATGCTCTGGCAGGACTGCTAGCTGGGACAGGTGCTGTTCTGGCCTACGGCCTCCACCACCACCAGGTCAGGACCATGGACAAATGAAGAATGAAATGATCTTTCATTTGTTTTTAAAGTTCCAAGTTTAAATTATTGCAGTAAAACATGTATTTTAACCGTTTTATAATGAACAAATATGGAGGCATAGCTTTACTTTGGCCAACTTCAAATGGTCACTCGTATTTTAAATTTTAAAAATTAAACAAAGATTGTTTAAGCTCAAATGTATTGTCAGCCTAGTTACACATCTGTTTACTCTTAGTTACACCCTTTTATGGTCTTTTAGCTCTTTACTGTGAGGACAGTGTTCACAAAGTCAGCTCCTTTGTAGATTTAATACGCACATGTTATGTGACTCAAGGTGCAAACACATTATGAGCTCAATGTTTAACTTCTGAGAAAAGAAATGAGGAAGTTTAAAACAGGATTTCAATGACATATTGGGACATCTGCTCCCAAAACTGACAAGAAATAAAAATGTGTCAACAGCTTTATAAATGACTCATTCATGGTTGTACTATTTGTTTTGTTTTATTAAGTCTTAAATTCAAAAACCTAATCTGTAAAGTTATTTACGACTCCTAAGTATTTCTTTAAAACATTTTGAATTGCAACAGACATGTCATTTGTCTATTACAATAATGGAAAACATTTGAAATGGTGTTAACTGATCCATCAAGCTGTCACATGCACAGCAAGCAAAGACTAACCAGCCCAGCTGCTGCTTGACCTAGTGTGAATGATTAACACAGTGATACTGCAGAATGTCTGGTCAGCAGGCTGCAGCTGCTTTTATTGGTCAAATGAAACAAGTAGTAGTAGTGGAGGTAACAGAACTATCATTATATGAAACATTTCAAAGCGTGTTCAAAAGTCTTTAAGAGTTCAGAAACATGTTACTGTTTGACAAACTAAAGCCATCTGAAAACCCTCTGATTCTGTTCTTGCTTAGCAGCAACGGTTTAGTCCTTTCACAACAGGGAGAATATCTGCAGCTTTTAGCTTTAATGTCACATTTGTGTGTCATTGTTATATTTTGCTGCCTGTCAGAGATTGTATGAGATTATAATCAGTTTGCTTGCCTCTTCAGTATTATTCTGAAGAAGTCAGTTCATTTCAAAATTGTTTTATACAATCTCTATCTTCACTATGATCACGAATAGTTGGACAATATGGCTTTGATTAGTGTTCCTCTCTTTTTATCGATCGCCAAACAGATGTCTCCTCTCTCCGCTGCAGGCTGATCAGTCAGACTCCACCAGTTTGCAGACCATAGAGAAGATCTCAACTCCTCCCATCTTCACCCAAGAGGAGGTCAACAGTCACCGCTCTCTGGAAGATGGTGTGTGGGTCACCTACAAAGGTGGTGTCTATGACATCACAGAGTTCGTGGCCATGCACCCTGGTGGGGAAAAAATCTTGCTGGCGGCAGGAGGAGCTCTTGAACCCTTTTGGGCGTTGTACGCTGTCCACAACCAGGAACATGTGCTGGAAATCCTCTCCGAGTATAAGGTGAGCGGCTTTCGGTTTGTATCAATAATTTCACTTAATGGTGATAAGATAAAATGAAGGAGGAGTTTCACTGTATATCTAACCAAATAAAAACCAATAATAAAACTATAGCTGACAAGAATAGGCTGCATCTATCAAACATTGAAGCCAATCTTATGTGTAGATGTTTAAAATTGAAATATACTGCAGATTTTAAGTCTGTCTACTGCCTAGTGTCAATCATTACTGAATTCCATTTGTAACTTAACTGTGTAACACACCCACTGTGCAGCCCCACCATGCACAGCCCTGTACCTCTGAGTTACACTCTGCCTGAAAAATAAAAGAGAAAAACAGAAAGATGCACATTACAATGATTGCTCTCTGTTGGTTTTTTTTACATCCATCACACACTTTGGTTCAACATAGTCCTGTCATACTAGCCATAGATTTGGCAACACTGATCACTTTTATTTCACACAAACACTTAAATCTCAGCCACTTCTGTGGTAAGTACAACAAAAACAACTACGCACACTATTTTCTAAGTTTTTGTTCTTACTTGCGATGTACTCTAATTCAGTCACATTACCCGGTGCAACCTCTTCCCCCATAAGGATCTAGTTAACATAAATCTAACTGAAATATTTACTGTATATGTGAGAAAACCAAACTGAAATGAATGCAGTTTAATTCTAAAATGAATATGACATTTATTTTGTTCACCATGCATGTAGTCTAACTGTTGTAGACTAAATACTGGCACCTACTAGTGAGTAAACTCTTTACTGATATTTCTACTGAAATGTTTCCTATACAAATACAGTTTTATTGTTTGGCCTTTTAAGTGAACAAAAGAAAATTTAAATTTTCCTTTGTGATCATAAAAACCCCATTGTGTCTGTGCTTTACTCAAGGTTGGTGAGCTGAGTGCAGAGGACCAAAAGAAGCAGCAGACTGTTAAATCATCTGATCCCTATTCCTCTGATCCTGTGCGTCACCCCGCCTTGAGAATCAACAGCCTCAAGCCTTTCAACGCTGAGCCGCCTCCTGAAATCCTCTCTGACAGCTACATTACCCCTTCTGCTATCTTCTTCAAGAGAAACCACCTACCTGTTCCTCAGGTAGACCCGGATTCTTATCAGCTGCGGGTGGAGGGACTGTCTGAGGGAGTGCTGATGTTGTCTTTAAAAGATCTGAAAACTAAGTTCAAGAAACACACTATCACGGCCACGCTGCAGTGCGCTGGAAACCGCCGCTCTGAAATGAACAAGGTGAAGCAAGTGAAAGGGCTGAACTGGGGCATTGCTGCCATCAGTAATGCTACATGGAGCGGTGCAAGGCTCAGGGATGTTCTGATGGATGCTGGGTATTATCCTGATGTTTCTCAGTGGGCGCGTCACGTTCAGTTTGAAGGACTGGACAAAGACGTTACCGGGACAACCTACGGTGCTTCCATCCCCCTGAACAAAGCCATTAGTGAGGATGGTGATGTGCTCCTCGCTTATGAAATGAACGGTGAGGATCTCCCTGCTGACCATGGCTATCCTGTACGTGTCATCGTACCGGGCACAGTGGGTGCACGTAATGTTAAATGGCTGGGGAAGATCATAGTGAGTGCAGAGGAAAGCCACAGCCACTGGCAGCAGAACGACTACAAGGGCTTCTCCCCCGGGACCGACTGGGACACGGTGGACTTCAAGTCTGCTCCGGCCATCCAGGAGCTTCCTATCCAGTCAGCGATAACCATGCCAGCAGATGGTGCAGTTGTGGATCGCAGTGATGAGGAGGTGACGATTAAAGGTTACGCCTGGAGTGGTGGGGGCAGAGAGGTGGTGCGTGTGGACGTCTCTGTCGATGGAGGAAAGACGTGGCAGGTAGCCCAGCTGAGGAGCAGCGAGAAGGAACAAGCACCCGCACCCTCGCCGCCACCAGGACAAGCATGGGCGTGGAAGCTGTGGGAAGTGACGGCTCCTCTTCCTCAAGAGGCTCAGGAGCTGGAGATAGTTTGCAAAGCAGTGGACAACAGTTACAACATGCAGCCGGACACGGTTTCTCCCATCTGGAACCTGCGGGGCGTGCTGAGTAACGCCTGGCACAGAGTGAAGGTGAAGGTCAGGGAGGATTAAAGCGAGGAACAGACTCGGTGCATTGATCGACATTCAGAATCCAAAGGTAGGTTACTGACACAGAGTGGTTGGAGTGGAAGTTGTTAAATATATCATTCAGAGGGGGAAAAATGTTTTATAGAGACTTTTGAAGTGTGACCAGAAATACAGCATTTTTTTTTTTATTCATCAAAACGTGGGCCCCTGCCTGAGAGATTGAATGTATTTTCAGCGCTAACTAAGCTAAAGGCTGTAAAAGACAAAACCAAAACACGACCAGTTTTATCTCATGAAGATTCACTTAGACTGAAATGTGCCAATACCTGTGTTATAAACATGCATCCTGATTGAAAAACTAGTTTTAAGCAAGTCTACGAATCTCATTCAAGTGTAAATGAGTATTAGATTTATTATAGTGTCATAACTATACATGAAGGCTACTAGACTGAAATGGAGTGTTTGGCGCACTTAGAGATCAAAGAAAAGGGACGTTTACAGAGACTGTAAATAACTCTGAAGTTTAAAACTTTTGGTGCATCTGTTGAGCTACAACTTTGGCCTTTGCTTCTTCAGGAGACAATAAAGTCACTTTTTCAAGGAAAATAATCAGGGGCAGCTGTAAGTGGTTATATCATCAATGCTTGTTTTTATTTAGTTTGCAATTAAGAGTTGAGCTCTTAACCTTCCTTCTGAAATTTAGTTTTTTGACCTTTGCCCAATCTGTTTCAACGTGGTATGGTGCACCACCATACATTACTGAGCTCTAACTTTAGTGCTCCTCTCCAGCGCAGATTTGACCTGATGTGTGCTTTTTAAGAAGAGGCCAGCAAATCATTATTTAAAGAGTAAATAAGAGTTGCATTTTGGCTCCTAACAAACAGAATGAGCAGGATAATAATAATGTGTGTTCAACTAAATCTATTTTCTTTTCTCTTTTTTTTCTCAACTTCTTTTTGCTATAATCTAACAATCTAATATTTCAGAACTGCTGAATTCATGTCATGCCAAGCATCACTGTTATATGTTGCATATCTTTAAATGTGTAACTTATATTTAAAGATGATTAATAAAGAGATCTAATTTTACACCAATGCATCTTTGTCTCTGAACATCTATATTTATTTAACATGATTCTGTTGGTTTAACGGATTACTCTGCACACACTGATCTAAATATATTAGATAGAGAACTTGCATGCACGAGGAACATTTTACAATATGATCCTTGGGACTGTATAACCATTTGTGTCTTATCCCCCTGTATTAAAACTGCTCTAAGGACGACTTTCACCGACAAGGAGGAAAGAGTCATGAAATAAAAATGGATGGTACAAATTTGGTGAGATAAAAGATGACATTTCTGATTTACAGTAATGGACAGCTGCAGCCAGATTTCTCGATGCTCCCACATGATTTTATGCACTTTGTTTTTTAAACCTGAAATTGGATTTTTGCTAAATGAATAGAACAGTAATTTGTTGGTGCTCTAAATTCTAAGAGTGCAAGAAAATAAAAAGTTTCACCATATGTGATTGATAATGCATATCGTAACAGTTACTGTTAATGATATGTTGGGTCATCTGCTGAGTTTAGCTTTTTTATGCTTCAGCATCAAAATCCATTTGAGTAACAAAAACTTGGCTGCAGGTTTTCATTCAACTTGTCCTGCTTTAAGTCAGTGATTCCTAAATGTGGAAACAGGATATGAAGTGACTCAGATTGCATCTTATGAGCAAACATGCAGCAGCTGGCAGGAAGATGGACGGGAAGAAAGAAGGGAGGATGAGTTAATATAAAAGATGAGTTGTCATTTCAGGTAAATACAAACAGTGGTTGCCGGAATAGCAGAATGCAATAAGTTTGCTTAGATTGGGGTTTTGGTGCATGATGGATTGGATTCATTGTTTTTTTGGTAAATCCAGGGTAGTGACCTAGTTGGGAAGTTGTTTGGTAATCATGTTTGTTTAAAGCTTTTCATTGTGATCCATCTTTGAGTCACAAATGACTAAAACTGCGGTAAGAAGAGTTGCACAAAATAGATCAAATAAAACATATTTTATAAGATGTTAGAGATCACCCAAACTTGTTTTCTGCCTGTTTCAGACATTGGATGCTGCTCTGAGAAAGTGTGCAGAAGTACGCAACAAGTCTTGCCAGAAATGACAGGAAAAAAGAAACATGATCTCTTCAGTGGAACCTGACACTTGGTTTATGAAACGTGATAACATGGCGTCAACCCCAGTACAATAGTCAGTTAGATGTTTCTGTGTGAATATCTGGTTACTCCTCCGCTAAATTTAGACCTTACTAGACCTTTTATTAGTTGTTCCTTTTCTCAGTTCCTTCATTTGATGTCCGTAAGAATGATTGTGTCACATATTACATATACGATAGATAGGAAGTAGAAAAAGCTGACTCGGGTTTTGTTCCATCCTTCGTGCGCTACTACAGAGAATTGTGTCATGCCAGTGGTAAATCTCTGTGGTTTGATTTATCTGCATGCTAAGTTGTTACACAGTGAGGAATGTGTAGAAACTATCTGTTAGAGGACTCTGCGAAGAAAATAGGAAAGTAACAGAGGTTCCAAAAAAGAGGTCTCTAATTTGCGTTATGGGTAATTTAGAGTCCAATAACACTGTAGCTCTATCCAGAGGCACTGCTTGTCAACAGGCAAGGCAGGCAAATACTTGGGGCCCCAGACCAGAAGGAGGCCCCTCAGGTTCTCACAATCTTAAACCGAAGCAGTGGCCCATATGTGCAAATTTTGCAATGACAGAAGGAAATCTCCCTAAGGGGGCCCCATTTGACAGTACTCACTCTCATTGCCCACTTAAAGCGTTGCACCCTTTATTGCTGTGAAAACCAAATTTCATTGATAAAAGTCAACAAAGAAAGATGAAGAGGAATTATCCGTCTATAGGAGAGAAAAAAGGAAGATGAGTAAGTGTCGGGACACTGGCAGAAATGGTGGTGATGAACGCTGGTTGGAGGGCCCCCTAATGGATTTTTGCCTAGGGCCACAGCAGACTCTAGAATCGTACACCCCATCAGACGATGTCTCAGGTGTTAGGTTCCCCAATAATATACAGTTTAACAAAAAGTATCTCTTTCCTACTAGATGATTTAGACTAAGGTATTGTCAATAGATGTACACCTTTAGACCAGCTGTTTGTCAGCTCGTGCTTCTGTACCATCTGTATCACTCCTCTACATACCAGACTGCTGGAATCTCATTTAACTGGCGATAGAATAGAAAAGACTTTTGCATCACTTTGGGTTAATTAGTTTATTTATATGCCATCAACACAACTGCAAATCATTTAATAAAAGTATGACTCTCAGGTGTCCCGTTTGTTTCGGAACAGTATATTTTTCAGAGACAAAACATGAAAGCAAAGTTTATGATGGGTGTTAACTTAACCGTCACCAAACTCCCCCACAAAGTTACAACTAATGCATGAGCACCCTCGGCCAGTAACTGCATGATTTCCCCCCACTGTCCCTTCTTCTGAATAAAGGCATGAACACCCCCCCCCCCCAAAAAAAAACCCAACTACTCCCCAAATAGCTTAGACAAAATTGTTTGTTCAATATATCTGAGCGTGCCTTTCTAACATACCATAACAACAAGCTCACAAACAGTCCTCTCACATAGTATCGTCTTCGTCAATTACTGGGGGGGAAGCATTTTTGTTTGTCTGTTTTTGGTGCTATATGCTCGACTTCAAAAGCTAGCTTACTTATCTGACCTGTGCAGCAGATGTCTCTGGCTGTAAGCCTAAAACTGCTTCAACTGACCAATAGTGTTAACACTGAACCACATACAGGATAACTGTGCCCTGTGAAACCAAAACTACAAGTTAAAAGAGATTCTAAGGATACATGTGTGAGACTTAAAAGAGTGTATGTACAGTTTCTATTCTTTCAGAAGTGTATAATCGGCTGATAATAAGAATTATTGTGTCACCTTTGAAAGAACACTTTAAATCTAGAATGGGAGCAGTTTCTGTCCACAGAGTCCATCAAGTTGCACCGCCATGTTTCTACAGCAGCCCAGAATGGACAAATGATAAACAGACTCTTAAGTGGGCCGTTCATATTTTTACATGATTTTAAGATTGGTGCCTTAAAACCTTTTAGATTACATTTCCTTTTAACACAAATGAGATGTTGTTGTTGATACCATAACTACATTCCAAACCTATGCCTCATCGCTCCTTTTTTTTTTACCTGCAAGCATGGATATGCCTAATAATGGATTAAGTTGTGTTTGAGTAATTTGTAACAGGTGAGACTGGTAGTTTGGGCACATAATGACATGTAATACATGCTGTAGGAGTGTAGGACATTCAGGTCTGTTTTAACAACAAGAACGCTTTGACCCTGAGAGAGTAATATGTAAATGTTCTCAGGACAGTTTTGTTCAGGATGAGTAAGTTTACACGCTACCTTAACCCCGTAGAGTTTTCCAGTGTGCAAACCCCTGCTGGTCCACATCAGACGTGTTGGCTTGTGGTCAGCTGGCTGCTTGTGTCATCCTCATTCTTCAGAGGTGGATCATCGCAGCCACAGGACTGACTCATGTGCCCCGGGCCGAGTTAAAAGCTGCTGCAGCGCTCTGAGAACAAACAGACTCTGCTGTGGGACTTCTCTGAGCTCTCCTTAGACTTTGAGTGTCTGCCCGGGATATTTCTGACAAAAAACTTTTCATTCATAGTTAAACATGGCGACCACAGGGAGCCTGCTGCTGCTTCTTCTTAACCTCAGTGGAGCCTTTTGTGCAGCAGTGCAGTGGACAGAACTAAATGAAGCAAAGGTAAGATGATGGTTTGCTTTGTTAGATACTTTGTTTCTATAATTATTCATGTAAAAATCAGGCTTAATAAGTGTTAAGAGCTTTGTTGTCTGCCTATGCACTCACAGGCCTACCTGAAGCAGTATGGCTACCTGACTGACTACGCTGATGCACAGGACCCTGAAAACCTCGAGCAGGTCATAGAAGCTCTCAGGTTAAGAAGACTTATTTGATTATATGGGGGAAATAGTTAAATTGAAGCACATGCTTTGTTTGTATGGGGTTTGTTTGGACTCCCACATATACAGAGGAGAAGGATTTGAGCAGCCCGCCTTGTTTTTAGAAATCCAGTTGCAGATGTTAAAGTTTTTATTTTTTTGTCTGCAGCGTTTTCCAGAGAGCGAATGATCTGCCACCTACAGGAGAAATAGATGAAGCTACTCTGAGTGTGATGAGAGAGCCTCGCTGTGGGATGGAGGACAACTTCAACAAGAAGCATCATAGATACAGAGTGAATGGTGAGTCAAGGAAACAGAATCTGAACTTAGTGAAGGTGTTCGTGTTTTTACTTCCTATGCAATTTGATGTCAGTTATGAAACTTTCTATGAAGAAACTGTCAATCAAACGGTCCTGCTTTGTGAATAACATTTCAAGTGTTTTTAGCTCTCAAGGTCTAGATTAATGACCAGTGTATTTCTAATATATTGTGAGTTTTAATGTTAAACTTTGGGACACACAGTTGGATTACAAAGGGCAGCAACTTTCAGCACATTGATTTTAAAAAGTATAAGAAAGACCATGCTCTACTGATAAAACACAACCACTATAAACTATAATGAAATGTGATGGTTTTGGATTTTCCCATTAGCAAACTGACTGACTGAATACTGCTCTATTATGGAGAGCGGTCCTAAAACAACATTTTATTATTTCATGAAAATTGCTACAGTTTCTTGTGTTTTCTTTCCCCCACTTTAAACTTAACCAATTAAAGATCATCTCCTAAAGCTCTGAAATTGTAAGAGATTTTCTTCTGTGTTGAAAAGTTTAAAATTAAAGTAAAAAAGTAAAAACTGGAATTTCCTCATTCTGTATCAGTCACATAAAGTCCAAACGAATGTTTTTTCATTGCAATATTTTAAACTGTGCTGTATTTGAAAAAGTAATGCACAGGAGAAATTTTTAGTGAAGTGGTTATCTTTGGGCTTTTGATAAGGGGATTCTCACATGATCTTGAGCTTAACTTTGGAATGTATTTCTACACACAAAGGCCCCTAACACTGGAGCTTTATATGTAAGGAGTGTTTAAAGCTGTTTTACTTTTTTTTGTAGTTTTTGTACACAACTCTTGAAGTAGTCTGAATGACAAAGTTAGAAAACCTTGAGGGAGATCCACAGATTTAGTATGGTGACTCAGAAAGAAAAAAAAAACCATTTTCTCTTCCAGCTGGTTGGAGAAAGAAGAGTCTGACATATCGCATCTACAACTACACACCTGACATGAAGGAGGCGGATGTGGACACAGCCATCCGCTCTGCATTCAAGTACTGGAGCGATGTGACTCCTTTGACCTTTAGAAAGGTCAGCTTTGGACGAGCAGACATTAAGATCTTCTTCCATACGACAGATGGCTGCGCTGTGCCGTTTGATGGCCCTGGTTAGTCTTCTTTTTTTTCTTTAGATTTCTTTTTTTGACCTTTGAACCCCAAACTAATGCAGCTTTAATTGTTTATTTGCTCCTGGTACAGGTCGTGTGCTGGCCCACGCTGAGTTTCCAGAGTCAGGTGTTGTCCACTTTGATGACGACGAGTTCTGGACTGAGGGGACGTATTATGGCTCTAATCTACGCATTGTTGCCACCCATGAGATCGGACACGCCCTCGGCCTCTCTCACTCTGAGTTTAGAAGAGCTCTGATGGCTCCAGTCTACAACGGCTACAAGGCAAACTTTAGGCTGCATTTTGATGACATCCAAGGCATCCAGGCAATATACGGTGAGCAGAGGCCAATCTTAGTTTAGAGCTGGCCATTCGGTGTAGTGCTGATTGTGTTGTATTTTGTAGTAATGGGGTGTGTGATTAGATGCCTGGCAGCGGGCTGTTATCAGCTTCTCTCAGATAGGCCTGCGTGTTGGTATAACTGATATATGGTATAACCGGTATGTAGATTAGGGCTGTCAAACGATTAAAAGTTTTTATCTTGGTCAATCACATTTTTGTCATAGTTTGAAATTCCGTTATTTCGGCTTTTACTTAGAATTTCTGTGCTTTCTTAAGCTGATAATATTTAACTTGCTATTTGAATTCAAACCTGCTTTTATTTATTTTTTCTAACAGTCCTTTGAACAGGACTCTGGTAGTTCAAAGGTTACAACATTAGCTTAACCACAGCAAGTGGAACTGGTTATAGATCAAAAAGCTAAATAAAAACAGCTCAAAGGAACGGTAAAAAGTGAAATGTTTGATGTCATGAGGAGGATATTACTTCTGACTCATCAACTGAGCTGAGAGTTTTTCTCAACTGATATGACAAATTGAAGGATGCAGCAGCGTCGTTCTGTGACTACAGGGAGACAATGCGGGGGCTTTCAGACCCTAATGAATCGCGTTTAACTAGTTAATGCTGACAGTGCTAATGTAGATCGATAAATCTAAAGAGAGAGCATTTCAAATATCCCAAAGGTATGTTTGAGGTTTTTTTATTTGTGACTGATAAATTGTTTGTGCATTTTTTAAAACTAATATATAGTCATCTTTGTCACCCTTTTAAATCCTGCATCAGTTGTGCTATCAGAAACTAATGTATTCTTTATCTTTAATTGTTTAGGGGTTTCTGATGCTGACATGGTTGAATAGGTTTATAATTTTTTTTACTTTTGCTTTTCAATGCTTTGTCATGAAAAAGTTCTGCTGTACCACATCATCTGAAAATACCTTTAATTCTAACATGACAAAGACTAAGTTTATTTAAATTTAAATTCAGTGTTCTCCACCTCATCACCCTTTGAACCCATGGGGTATCGTGTAATAGCCAGACTATTTCAAGTAAAAGTCATTGTATCCTTAAACTTTGTACATTTCTGTTTAACAGGCAACCGCATGACCAGCCCTTTAGCAGACCCGACACACACGGACAGTCTGATTCCTACAGAGAGCAGCCGTGAGAATGAGACCATACCTGACCCCTGCACTGCTGATCTGGATGCCATCATGTTAGGTGAGTAAAACAAGGAACTTTTCTCCATGTAATACCTCCTGGTATTACATGGTATTTTTGCTCTAACCTGACTTTACATTTGACTTAAACACACTGAATAGAAACATCATAATACCAGTTTATCCACAGTGGCCGCAATAATCATGACAAGTCACATGATCTTGTCAACCTCCTTATGTGTGAGGTTATGGAAGCAGTGGTCATGCATCCATACATTTTATTTACTCCATTTTCCTGTGATAACGAGAAATGTATCGTTCTCGAGACCTCGAGTTGCAAAAGCACAAAATAATCATCGAATTTGGCTGATCGGGAAAATGGCAAAAAATGAAAAGCATGCTAGGGCTTTTCTAGTTATTAACAAGTTATTATAGAAATCTTTTGAAATAGGCATCAGAATATCAATATGTTCCATTCAATCACAAAAAGACTATACGTATTAGGATAATATAAAGTATGATGACCAAATGTATCACAAACAGTTTTAGTAGCTCACTGTTTGTTAAATCAGGTCCATGGAGGAAAACTTATGCATTTAGTGGTGATTATGTATGGACCATCTCTGATCTGGGACACAACCCACCAATGAAGATCACTCAGCTGTGGACCACACTTCCTGGAAACCTGAATGCTGCTGTACACTCTCCAAGAACCAACAAGACCTACTTTTTCAAAGGTACAGTAGTTGTCCTTATTTAACCTGCTGTCTTGTGCTCACCTTCTGTGAGTCCAGATAAAAATGTTTGTACTGAATCTGGTCACAGGCAGCAGAGTGTGGAGATACACCAAGTTCAGTCTTGACTGGGGCTACCCTAAAGATGTCAAAAGGATCCCTCACAGTATTGATACTGCCCTGTACCTGGAGAAGAACAAGAAGCTGGTCTTTATTAAGGTATCAAAATATGAGCAGCAGAACACATTGTGAATGTGAACACTACTGTGTTCATATGTATTGCCCTTCTTATAGAAACCTTCTGTTGTTTGTTTTGTCTTTTTATTTCCTTTTCTTGAGTTCAGCCGCACAGTGTTGCACTATTATCCATATGTTGATATTTATCAGTACATAGTTCATATTTACCAGAATGAAAAGTGTAATTTTTCCAAATACAAAAAAGGAAGAAAAAAACAAGAATCAAGAATTAGAATATAAACATCTAAATAACAGAATAAAATAATGTGAATAACTACATTGAAAAAATAAATATTCATTGTTTATCATTTTTCATGTAAGTAAAGTATACTACTTAGTTGCCAAACAGATTTCTTTTCTAATGGTTACCTTGCAGCTCATTTTTATTAACTTATTGTTGTTATCTTCCACATTTACTGGAAAAAGTCTTAAAATAACGAGAACTGAATTGAATGGAACTTCCTAATCTAAATATTTTGAAAGTCTTTATCTATGTTTTACCAATGTTCTAAATAAACCTTGTCTTCTCGTCTCTCTCTCGTTGCTGAATGCTGTGCAGGGTTCAGATCACTGGCAATGGGACGAGCTGAAGTACAATGACTTATCCCACTACCCAAAACCGCTGTCCATGCTCTTCTCGCGGGTGCCCTCCAGTCCAGATGCAGCCTTCACCTGGACAAACGGAAAGGTGTTCTTCTTTAAGGGAGACGAGTATTGGCGGATGAATGAGATGCTTACGGCCGACAGAGGATACCCACAGAGCAAGAAGGCGCGCTGGATGCAATGCTAGGGGTCCACCACCAGGAGGCAACAGGTGTATAAGACTGGTGCCAAGAGATGATCAACCAGCAGGGGTCGCTGGTTCCATTCCAGGGGCATTGACAACTGTGCAACCTCAACAGCAGTGATTCATTGTAGAACTGATTTTATTTCACTGGATCCATGATTCCCTGCCCTCCAGAGCAGGAAGTCTTTTTTTTTTTAGTTCTTGAGCTTTATTGTTTGTGTTTTTGTGACTGGGTGTCTTATGTAAGCTTTTGTATGATCTCAGGGAGAAATCGAGGAACGCCTTCTGTTTTTCTCTCAAGCATGTGTGTTTGATTATGTGTCTTAATACCTTCTGGCAGATGTAATACGACGGTCGGAGTGTGCACTTTCTACTCAGCCTTTATTATGTAACACTTTTAAATTTTACCAAACACATCCATTATCTCAATAATCACACAGGTCTGTGAGAAATCATGTAGCAAAAATGTGTCCTGAGTGAATCATTTCTGCAATTAAACGACACATAATATCAACTGTAAAATCGACTTCTTCATTTCATTTCCTCGCACTAGAAAGGAGGTTTAAAAGCAAAATGCTCACTATGATCAAGGCCAGGCTGTCCTGTACTGAATCGCCTGCAACACAAAAAACCTTGGAAGCACCATGGCAACCTAAACCACTCGCTGAGTAGGAAATCCTTCCTATGTCCTTGGAAATCTGATGAGTAATTCAGCCAGTGTTGCTAAGAGCCCACAGAAACAATGGTGTAATTTATTCAACTCGACCAAGGACTAGAAACTGTTTTTTTTTTTTATCAAACACTTTTATTTATTCCTATTTGAAATTTCTATCAACAGGTATGTACAAATTCAGGTAACAAAGCACATTGTCCCTGCAAATAAAAACAACATAAAGGGGGTAATTATTTAAAAATCTACAAATTAACAACAGGCGTGCTTTTTTTGTCGTTTTTTTTCAACATTACCATGTCCTGTACTTTGTTCATTGTATAAATTAAATTATAAAAGTTTACTCCGCAAGCACACACAAGTCTTCACCATGTTCTGACAAAACAAAAACACAAAAAAAGGTCACAGAATTAAGAGTGCTGCTGGAAAAGATCCCACTAAAAGCTCTGGCTAAGAGCTTTTAAACAACAACTGTATAACGACTGTATCATGTAATTTTTGCCTCACTTTCATTCTTTCATGTTTCCATCTACATGTCATATTTTACTCTCACACTACACTCCCATCTAAAAAAAATACACAAAATTAAAGTAATTTTAACACAACTTTCACAAAATTCTACAACCACACATTTGAACCGTTCTCATGTCATCATAACACAACACTTCATGGCAATGACTAACTTTTTAAGTACAGTACATTTTAAACAAATTGCTTTGTCACATTCACAACCAAAACAGTAACACACTCACTCTTGAGGCTCGTACTTGCTTTTTATGTATTTCATACATAATATGAGGAAATCAAGGACCCTACAATGTATATCAACTTTTTTTTAAGTATTTCTCTGAGAAACAGGGGGGGTTGTAGTGGTTATGGCTTACACCAAAAAGGGGCTTCACAAATCTTACTTCTAAATAGACAGTATTCTCTTCCACTGAACACAGGCATACACGTCCTTGCTTTAGCTCATTTCGAAGGCAGATTAAAACCCTTCACTGAGGGTCACAGTTTATTTGTTCTACTCTACTTCAGGAAGACACAGCTGGAGAACCAGAGAAGCACCAAACAGTCCCTTCTAGTCCTTGTGAAACTCAGATCCTGATGACCGGGGTTGTAGCAGTGAGGGGTGCTGTGGACCCGGTCTCAAAGTCCAGGTCGATCATGGTGTGGTTGGCAGTTCCCAGGCTGCTAAGGGAAGTGCCGGTGCCCATCTGTCTGTCCCGCAGACTTTGCAGGTAGCTCTGAGAACAAAAAACAGAAGGAGAGATGAGTGAGGTGCACAAAAAGTCATGACATGTTTTTATTTTTTTTTATTTTTTTTAAATGGCATCAGTTTTACAGCACACGCCATGTTGGGAGACACTGACCGGTGCCAGTAGATCCCCAGCGTAACGTTTCACTGGGGTGGGTTTACGGCGGTACATGCCTTCCTGCCCACCTGCCTGCTGCCGCTTCTTGGCGTCCTTCTCTCGTATCCGCATCAGCTGGACTCTCTTCTGCCTCCGACTGATCACAACTATGAGAAGGGGGGATTTAAGGGCAACTTTTAAGATGACTCAATAATAAAACACAATCCAGGATTTCTGAAAGGATTACAAAAAAGGAATATGATATTTATTCCAAATATTATTTGCTAGCAGATTTATAAGGAACTTAAAACTTTAGAAAACATTTAAAGCATTTAATGTTTTTGCAGAAAGAAATCTGTTCCTACTATGTGCATTTTAGTGATCAATCGTGTGCTAACATAGCAGTTGTTTTTACACATTAACCTTACAGTGAACTTTCCTATTAGAGGGGTTAACTGCTTTTGAACTAAGAATTACCTTTTGACTTATTCTGATTTGTAACCCTACAGAGTTAACAGATAAAGTGTAATGATATTTCCTCCTCACCCTCAGTGTGCGAGAAGCTGTCATCTGTAAGTTTCCATTGGACCAGAACTCCTATAAGGCTGAGGGCGGGCCAGATGCCCAGAATGACCCAGCTGTACCAGCAGAGAGGGGGTCCGGGTGTGAGTTTCAGGCAGTCATACACATGTGTACCCAAAGCCAGCATCTCCACAAAATAATCAGCGCACACAGTCATGATGGCTGCCCCGAACACAGCAGTGGACAGCATGGTGAAGAGCTTCTGCCACTGCAGCGTCAGCACAGCAAACAACATGCCTGTTCCCAAGAGAGTACCCAGTGGGACCCAGACTGTGGTAGGAGTGTAGAACTGGTGAGTGACCAGCAGGGCGGACAGAGCCAAGAGGAGGCCCAGCAGCAAGCCGGTCATGAAGAGGCCGACGCTTCTTACCAGCATGGTGACCAGGCCGCACAGCAGGCCTATACCTAGTCCAATACCTGCGCTGGCCTCTACACTCAGCTGAGTGTCCAGCACATGCTCCTTGTGACAGAGCAAGAAGATGATGACTGAGCCGAACATCAGACCCGACAGGAACATGACAGCCTTGAAACAGCGGTAACCTGAAAGAAGGAAAAACAGATGATAATAATTAGAAATCAGTGGTCTGATGTTATGCACAACTTTATGTTTCAGTTTTCTCATTGTCAAAGTCTGGGCCTCACCAAAGAAGCAGTAGATGATGCCAAACAGGCAACACATGGAGCAGATGACAGCGGGGATGACATCATACTTCCTTTCGATCTCCAAACTGCACACGTCAACTTCAGACAAACCTTCCCCGGCCCCTTCAGAGCTCAGCCCGGTGGGATCTGCCATTCTGGATGAATGTGGGAGGCTGAAGTTCAGGACAAGTTTAGGAACTTCTTGTGGCTCTATCTTAAGTCCATTTGAAAAGATTTGGCAACTGCAAAAGAAAAAAAAACATTGTAATGCAAAAGATGAGCGAGGCTTTTAAAAATCCCATATCTGTGAGTAGAGAAATCGAAGAACTCCAGTGTTAATTGTTAAGTGAGAAATCTTAAGGTCAACTGTGACTTCATGCCTGCGTTGTGTGTGCAGCTGTCGCAGATTCAACACAGCGTGCAATACAGCTAAGCGCAATCCTGTGTGCCCTGGCACGCAGCTCATTTACTCATTACAGTCCATGAGCCAGGATAACTCATGAATACTGACTGAGTGGTTTGTGGTCTAACAGATGTAATTAACTTTCCTTGATCACTTTTAACCCAGTTAACATAACTACTTGTAATGTTCCTTCAAGTATTAAACAGGAAAACATCAGTTCCTGTAAGTCTGTTACTTTGCTTCATGTTAAATGAGCTGTTTTTATTTGAGAACATTTTCACAACATATTAGAATCTACTCAATTGATCACTTTGTTAAGAGTACAAGCAGCCATGGTCACTTTCTCCCTATAACTTTGAAAACTTGATTTACCTTTTAAAGCTCTGTGCGTACATTTAAAGCTTTTCAAATGTTGTATCTAGCCTAGACAGATACAACATATGCCCAATTTATAAAGAAACACATAATCCCTTGATTTATGTAAAGACAAAGATCAGATGAGAAAAGATTGTCAGTGCATAACAGGTATATATCTACCCATTTGCTTCACTGAACTTACATTTCACCTCCACCTACTTCCCAGACTAGTACTCGACATGATATTTAAGCCAGCAGGCCTGTGGAGATCCTCAGAGTGCTGCAGCAGGATAAAGGATCATGGGTGGACTGCTCTCTCTGAGGCTGCTGGCAGGCCTCCTGCATGATCTCACCACAGCTGAGATCCGATTACAGCAAACTCACGTTTTCTACTTGAACAAACAGTTGGGAACAGTCGGCCATGCCTTTACTCTGTGCTTTTTTTCCCAGATCGTTCTCTTTCCACTCCGTCTATCTCCTCCTTCACCTGGAACTTTCCTTCAGTCTAATTTCTCTCTTACACTGGAAGGAGCCTCATTTGTTTGGCATTTCTCTCAGACTCAGGCTCTGTCATTTTGTGTCTCCTGCCTATGAATGACTTTACATGGAAAAAATGAGAACTTGTTGGAACATTTTATTTTCTTCTTTAGTCACTAGCAGTTCTCCAGTACCTTCATATCTGTCTGTCTCTATTTCTGTTTTACATCAGTAAAAACTGCTATTTCTTTTTTTTTTTTTAAGACAGCCTTTAGGAAAGTCTCCAATAAGTGTATGGTTCCAGTTGAAGTTTGAAGACTCAGGTTTGGTGTAGTGTACATTTTTTTAAGCATTAGAATTTTATGAGAAGCATTTAATACTGAAATTTAGATAAAATGTACAATGTGACTTTATATGGTTGAAGTTATCTGGTTCAAATAGCCTATAATACAAGTTTGGATAACTGTCCATTATTATGTTTTAACACTGAAGCAAATGTAAAACAGTTGCCTATAAAAGAACCATCCTAATACAGCTAAAGTAAGGGTATGAAAAAGTACCTAAACTTAATAAGATAAGATAATCCTTTATTGATCCCCAGTGGGGAAATTCAAGTGCTGCAGCAGTAAAAGACAACAGGAAGAACATGCATATGAGTGTTAATCAAATTAGAATATATAGGAATAAATCAAAATAAAGATAAGAGTACTACGTATTTACAACTATTATAAGCAAGATGTCTGTCAGTGATTTAGAAAACAGACTTCAGGACCCACTGCTGTTTTACAGCAGTACAACAGTAACTGTACAGCTGTTGTAAACTTAATGTGAAGTAAACTAACTTATTAATCATTTTTTAAAAAGGAGACTTGATTTAACGAGACAGACTCAGATAACTTTTTACCCATTTCTAACCAAATGGGTATTTCATATGAGCACCAACCAATTTCTAAACTTAAAAACAAACACTAATGTGGGGTATTATATCTACACAGTGGGTCTGGGCTGAGTGATGGCTCATTGGTTTCCTCTGTAGCCTTGAAGTAACCAGAATCTCATTTAGGCTGGCTGACAGAGGGTTTTTTGTGTATTGTTGTCTGTATCTCACTATCTGTAAGGGTTATGACTTCAGACACAGGCAACAATTTCTTAGGGATGCAAATAGAAGTGTTTTAGCTCTGTTTTATAAAGAGATCCAGCAACAGACCGACAAGAAGCCCCACCATTACGAGTGGTTTGCTTTCTACGCTTAAACAAACAACGCTCACACCCCGCTTACCCAGTTTGTGATTTTGCATGACTTGTGAACAACAGCTTCGCTCTCTCACACAAACACACATGGATTTGGCAGTATGCATAAACAGAAATAGACCTAAGATCAGCTCCAAACAAACAAAAACAAACACCACAAAGTGAAATAAATACCAAACTCTGCATTACTGTCCAGTTTCTGGGTTAATATTTGAACATCACCCACACAGGGGGGGAGGAATAATAGCACCACATAGTCACCTTCAACAGATTGTAAAGAAGGGGTTAATGCATTTGTCTTTAATGTTCTTAGACTGGCTACTCTTGCCCAATAATCCAGGACTCAGGCTGCGTGTGACACAGAAACAGGGGTTAGAAAATGGACTGACACAGACACACACAGGAACCTCATTGTTTTGGTCTAGAGATTGTCTTGCTCTTTGATCTTTTAACTTTGTCTGCCCCTCCATGTTGGTTAGAGGTTACAATGTTGAACTGTTCCGAAAAAGAACGAACAGACTTTGCTAGATAGAGTTTACTCCTAAATTGAAGTGTACTAGTTAAACTGTCATTGATTGAGCCAATGGTTTGCCTTGAAGAATTCTGCCTGAGCTGGTCTCAACTGGTCAGCTTGGATATGAAACACTTTCTCCTTGCTCAGAGACCATCTACTGCTCTTCTTATGGTCGTACAGTTGTTGTTTTTTCAAGATTTTCTTTTGTGTGCCTTTAATTGAGAGATAGGACAGAGGATAGCGTCAGAGAGTGCGGGGAATGACATGCGGGAAAAGAGCCACAGGTCGGATTCACTCTCTCTTTTTCTCTTCTTAGCTTCATCTGTTACCATCCTTTTCCGTCTTTTAGCCTCAGCCATTGTGTCAAAGAGTACAGAGACGGTCTAACAAGCTGCCAAAGAAAGCTGGTGAGTTAACTAGTGTCGTAAAGCCGTATGCACATCTCAAGAGAGAACTGCGGTACGCTGCCCAAGTGCTGTCAACCAGGTGCTAACTGGAAATGGTAGGGACCCCATTCTGCCTGTTGAAAGTTAGTTTTAACATTAGATCAACCTTGTAATAATTATTTTACTATTTTAGGATGGAAAAATTACATGTTGTTGCTTTAATCTTCGAAAGGCCCAGAAAAAAAATGGATGTGCATATACAGCTCTGTACAAAACTAGTAGATACAATAGTCAATGTAATACATCATATATGCTAGTCAAAATAGAAGTCCTGACCTTAAATCCAAATGGTAAAACATTTTTATTTGGTTTGCCAGTAGGGCTATTACTGAGTGAGTATGAACTACTTCATATTCAACCACCATTTTAACTGATTTAACTCTAAACACACGCCCATTTACACTCCCATATCTTTGTAAATCTGCCTCATGTTTCCCCTTAAAGGGTCTCAATGGTGTCCTATGTCCAGCAGGCTTGGAAGTCCTCGATGCTGTGGGAGAATAGAGCCATTATGAGGCAAGACAAAGACTCTGAGGCCCTTGCTGTGACCTCTAGTGGCACTCAGAGGAAACCATGCTAACAGAACAGGAGACCACAGAGAGAAGGCTGAGAGCACCAAGGAAACTGGTAGATCCCAGAGTGTTTGCTTTTAGATGGGTGCCAAGTATTTGCCTTCAGGGCTCTGGTGAGTGATGGAGGGAGGGGTCCAAACTGGACCCAGGGCAGTTTATCTTAGTGACTGGACTTCGGGAGGCCCCAAAAGATCCCCAAAAGTTACCCTCCTAGCTGAAATTCTACCAGCTAAATTTGCCTGGCAACTAAATCCATACAAAACGACAGGACTAAAGGAATGCAGCCATGCTAGCAGCCCTGTATGCTAATGCAAGTAATATGTTACCAACTTAGGCCTTTTTGTGTGCTACAGTTAGCTAATAGGTTCTCATAGCACTATGTCAAACAAAAATGAGATCTATTAAAGTATTTTAGACTGGACCAAAGTCTAGGACTGGCCAGCCGCTTTATGCACAGAGGCTGAAGTTTAGTAACGATTATTTATGGCATGGACTACGATGAAATATAGAAACTTAAAGAGTGTCAAACACCCTTAATTTGTACTTGTACAAGGAGAAAAAGCACACATAATGGCTTCCAGAAGTATCACTTAAATTACTGAAGAGTTACAGTTTGAGAATGTGTATTAACAGAATGTGTATTAACAAACAATAAGGATCAGCTGCAGATGACCTTTTGGAATATCATGTTGCCCTTGAAACAAAAACTTAGCAAAGAGTTTACTCCCACTGAATAAACACAGGGGGGTTGAATGATGCAGATTTGAGTTCTCAGCTGCTGAGAAACAGGCCGGGCCGACTATGAGTTCCCCACATAGCTAATTTGGGTGTGTTTGAAGAAGGGGTGGTCGTGTGTGATCACAGCCAGGAACTCTACGTTCTCGTCCGACTTGACGACCAGGGACAGCTGAGAGCCTGAAAACCTGCAGTGTTAAAATAACTTGGTGGTCTGACAACTTCAATTGGAAGACTCTTCCAAGAATGAGGGATGCACCGTGCCCTGCGCTTTGCAGTCAAAAATCATATCATCTACCTTCAGCCAAACACCCAGATCATCTGAAAGACTGATCAATCTCAGACAAGAAGCTCCATGTTAATGAAGTGAACTGTCACAGCAGGAGTTACATAAAGAGTGCCCATATTGAACTAAGGATAAAACAGAATCTACATGGATAAATGCATGCTTATTATTACAATAACATCTGCTTTCAGGGTCTCAGGATTATATTGAGCAGGACATCATATAGGCTGCTATTGCGTATCCTGCCCCTCTGTAACAGGAAAGGGAAGCTTATGACCAGATGAGGAAGTGGAACATCAGGTTTCAGCAGGAACTTACCCTTGTGTTTGCAGACACAGACACAAAGATCATGAACACTTCAGCTCAACAACCACAACACTTCTTTGTAGAGAAATACAATTTCGAAAATCAGGGCAGACACAAATAAGGAGATTAACGATTTATCTGATTGCTAGTTCTGATAACGATGATTTTACGGTATGAATAGTTTCTACTCGTCCCTCCTCTTGAAATGTCTCTTTAACATGTCTTACAAACCGCATGTCACTAATCTTTCCCAGAGATGTATAAGATTTCCACACTGACAACATTTATCATCTAACATCTATCACATTTGACCAGGAGAGCAAATCAGTTTTTAAAAAACGTCTTCTCTGAATCAGATGTTAGGCGTACGAGCTTGCCAGCTTAAAATGTATACGACACAACTGATAAACATCGGTTACCGACATCGATGCAGGCCACATTATTTGCAAATGGGCCGATGTCTGTCAACAGGGCAGATATCGACTAATACTGTGATGTTGATCAGTGCATCCCTACTCATTTATCAACTGACAATCTGGGTCTGGAAAACATAAAGAAGCTAGCTAGATCTATGTGCTGCTCAATAAAACTCAGCAGGGTCAATAACACCCACTGAGAAATCTGGCCAGCCAAGGATACAGACGGAATAGAAGCCTTGAAATGTGATGGACATCATCTTGTATTCCATCTGGATTGCAACTTATTCAATAACACAGTACACTGTGTCACAAAGTGCCTCTGTGTGATTAAAAAACAATTTTAATTTTTTTTTTTTACTGATGCTATATTGCTGTTTTGAATCTTATCCATTCGATCTTGGTCTGATAAAACTCAAAACACGATGAGTCGCTGATTCGACTAATTCATTTTACACCGAAAAGTCAAAACCTGTCAGTGCATCACATCTTTACTATGAGGTACACACGCTGTTATTGTAGTTAGGCAGAAGCTGCCAGATCTGAACTCTTTTCAGACCTTTTTATACAGATGTATCTTTCTTTATTTAGCCCTTCTTGCATTTTAAAAACTAATCTCATACACAAAAAGACAGAGGATATTCAAAATGACACATGGGATTCATTTGCATGCACAATACTCACATGGCCATGTGTGCCTGGCAACTTTCGAGCACGTGGCTTGCATTCATGACTCGTATAAACAGCTTTCAACACAGCGTTTAGGTATTACATCACTAAATTGCCATTTCAGGGTCGCATGTGATCAGAAACATCAACAGGGCTTCTTTTTCTCCTGAGCAGATTGAGATGTAACTAACTTTCATTTTGTTATTCTTATTCAGGTTGACTCTATTTTAAGGTGTCTTCTTCTTTCTTACACCTGTTTACCCAAAACCAGCTCTGTCAGGTAAAGTATTGTTCTAAACACAACCAACCCTCGATAAAATCCAAATCAACAATGTTTTGAGTATGCAATGGATCATACTTAAACCAAATATTTTTCTGCACATCTTTTGCCTATAGTAGCAGACTTGATTCATCAAACCAACTTTATTTTTCACAGAGCACAATCTGGATTGTCCTTAATATAAGGACATAACATAACATTATTTTTGCAATATTTTTCTGAACTTAATAGCTTTTTTGTAATTGGCAGCTGTTCAAGTGAATATTTCAGTTAAAATCCAGAGCCACAAAAACCTAAACTAAATACTTTACAAGCTCTAATTAAAGATAATCTAAAGCAATGCAATGACTTAGTTAATACTTTTAAAAAGCCAACCAATTGCCCTCATCACAGACCCTATTCACTTTATGATATTTCATTAGTAGCATCCTATACTTTGATCATAATCCCTCAAGCTCATTACTGCCTGAGTTAAGTGTAAACAATAGAGGCCTTTTAACTAAAGCCTGCAGAAAGCTACTTATACTATGGCATGAAAAGATCAGAAAAACTGTGAACCATTTTGAAGAGTGTCACATGTTGATGGTGCATAATGTACATCCGTACACACATGGTCATTAACATGATTAAAATCCATGCTAAGGATTTAAATCCTTAGCATAGCTGCAGTAAGTTAAAGCTGTGATCCAGCAGCAGAGGAAGGAGTTTACAAGTGTGTGCAGCAAGCAAGGAGGGGCACTCCCACAACGCTCTATTAGGGGTTTGTGGTAGAGAGCAGCTTTTTGTAGGTTCAGTGGTGGAGTCTTTATGTGCATATGTCAGTGAGAACATGATAGAGTAGCAGTGGATGAGATAATAATGCTGCTGATGAACACTATGGTGCAGCGAACTCAAAAGTAACCGCCCATCGGGCTGAAGTGTCCTTGAGAAGATACTCATGCTCAAACAGTCACAGGGGTGCTGACCTCTGTATCAAATGTTCAACATGGTGTAGTATCATATATTACAACTTTTTTAAGCTCCCGTCAAATGATTGAACAAGTAAAGGAATTGCTGAGGCAGACTACCAGGGTATAATCAGATAGGCCTGTGATGAAATTGGGATAATTCTCAGATAGAACTGCTTTAACAGCAAAGGGGGAGTTAGAGCACGATGGTGGTTCAGACCGCCGTGCAGTGCCTATATACTATATGTCTGCTGCTCTGTCATTTAAAGCAGCCATTTAACCCTCTTTGTCAAATTCCAGTCGACAATAAATGTACCTCCTAGAGCGATCTCACAATCCTAAAATATCATGCTTGGGCTTCCTTTGCTAAGCCAACTCAAAGCTGCGCTCATGTCTCAACTATAACCAGTGTTTAAGTTCTATAAGTAGCATTTGGGTGGATGTTTGAAAATGACTGGTATCAGTTTTTATGTGTTTTCCATATGACAATGGGGCTTCTCTTGCATAAACTACGGTTGGCCCTATACCATGTTAGTTTTCCTATTTGCATTGAATGAGGAAAGCAATTGTACCAATGTCTGGTTAATTTTGAAAAAAGTATGCAATTAAATACCCTTAAACAACAACAACCTCAAAATGTAAGGCATCACATCAGGCCCCATTTGACTGGTCTTTGTAGGATTTTCTCCCTTACTTTCAAAGGTTCTTTAAGGTGCCGTGTAAGACTGCTCCACTTTGCCGCATTCATGAAGAAAAAAGATACTAGAACTTAGTCCTCATAATCCACGTGTCCAGAAAATACTTTAAGTGATTATATTCACCCAATGCAAGTTTTCCTAGAAAAGTATAAAGTCACCACTGGTATCGAGCACAGTAGTCTCCTTAAATAAAAAAATTAGCCTCAGCTCTGACTCTTGCACAGATTACAACAGCAGACATCCTCCTTGACACAGCGCTTATTCATAACGAAGAACCAAGAGACACTCGTCAGTGTAGAGATTTGTGCCATGTGCTGTGCATATGGACAGATGCAGCAGGCCTGAGCATGTGGCCTGACATGGTTGGACTACTTACTCAACAATTAGGCAGTCTTCTGTGGTAAACTCATCTTAATGACCAGAACACGCCAGGGTCAGCGTGAAACTGCATTTGTGGGATCTTCAATTGTCCATAACTGTATACAGCCCAACGAGAACAACTGACAACAGAGGAGAAGCTTATTAACCTGATTCTCAGTGGTTCCAAGTGAATACTGATAATAATGCACTATACAGTACAGCTGAAAGTAAAACTTTGTCAAAAGACATCGTCAAATGTCTTTGTGTTTAAGACAGCTTTAGCACAATACATTTGTTTATTAAAGTAAACTATTAAGTAAGATTTACTCTTTATAATTTTATTATTATAACACAGAGAGAGAAATATTAGACCCTTGTGTTCACGCTAATTAAAAGGTACCAGCAAAACATGTGCAGTCTAACTTTCATCACCCTCTGCTCTTCATGCCTTCCTGCTCTCTTTTTTTCCCCCAAAGCAGGGGAGGGCTTCCTCTCTGCCTTTTCAAAGGGGCAAAACCATCTGGTGCAGTCTGACAGAGTATAGGTCAAGTAGATGGGGGGTGGGTTGAGGGGATGTAACTACAGAGTGAACCCTTCTAAGTCAGGACCTGTAGGCTGTCATCACACTGCCCAGAGAACCAAGACGTATCCCCAACTTGGTTCATGCAGGGCTGTTTCCACGCTGCATGGCTACCAGATGGACATGGAAAAAAATGCTTTAAAAAAATATTTAAATCAACTTCTACCATACTAACCTACTATAGATGGTAATAAAGAATTCAGAAAATGGACCTCTGTTTCACAAAGTGGTCACATTTGACAGCCATGTAGTTAACATCACATGAAACAGGATTTAAATGAAACACATTGCATAGATTATTTGTTGTTTTTGTGAAGGACTGTAAGGACCTAAGCAAAACACTTGGAGATATACACCAGAATGAGAGAAATGTTTGGTTCAGTGCACACGAATAAAGGCACTATTATACTGAATCATTTAGTCTTTGTCCTAAAAGGCTGAAGGAGGACTTGAAGTGTTTTTTCTCTACTGTCAAATGATTTAAATGGGATGAAGCCATGGAAGTAGACTTGGTTGCTACGTGTTACTACAAACATTTCAGCTCTTGATACAGACACTGATCACTCAGGATCTGAGGATTAATCGCCCAGATATAATCAGTCAAAGTCGGCAATCATGTATTCAACTACTGTAAACAGTGATAAACGTGAAGGAACTCCAATGGTCACTGGCAGAGAATAACAGTCACACAACTGCACTGGGAAAAGTAGTCCAGTGATGTAAACTTGTAGGCCTATAGGCATAAAGTTATTTTAAAACTTACCGATTAGCCTGTGTTTTCGGCAGCTGTATGTTAACTTGACAATCGGCTCTGTCAAACAGGAAAAACACCCGACCATTCACAAGCACAAAAGCGGCGCTAGGGTACCAGGGAAAACCGGTTCCTCCCAACTTCTCCCCTTTGAAACGTGAAGGCTAAACTAAACTACGAATACAAACAGGTCATAGTTCTGCTCCTAACCCTGTCTTAAGCTAGCACTGACGGACTACAGATGTGAGGAGATAGTTTCCATTCTCCGTGTCCCACTTCACTTTGTTTTACCGTGCAAGTTTCTCGTCTGTGACTCCACTCTGAAAAACTCCACCTCCCTGGAAAATCTTAAACACACCTCCCCTCTCTCTTTCTCTGCTCTCTGAAGTAAATGGTACTTTAAAATACAAAGGAGGAAAAGTGTTTCCCTCTCTCCCTCTGAGGCAATCCTCTCTTTATCTCCATCCAGAAGAGTCGGCAGTTAGACCGTTGGAAAGGACCGGGGAGGAGGGGGGGCTGACGGGGGGCTGAGGGGGGGGGGGGCTGACGGGGGCACCCTCTGTTTATCACTGTACAATGAATACAAGACATTTACATTTGGTATTAATTCATTTTTATTGGGCGTCCTGTACATTTTTTTTTATATCCATTGGATTTTTTTAACATTTCTGCAGATTATTTCCTGTATTTCAGTTTTTTTTAATTCTCTTTATCCTTTTCTATTCATCCAGTTAATCTCTGATGTGGGAATTGTGAAAAATGCCTGGTCAAGAGTCTTACAGCAGATAACACAGAACCCTGTGCCTTGTGTTGAGGGACAGCACTACAGCTGTGAGTGCTAAAACTGTTGGAGCTCCTCGTTCTCACAACAGGGAGGTAAGATCTTGTTTATATGTTTATAAAGTGTGTACCAGGGACAGGACCTTTTTGATTTAAAGCCACAACACCCATAGTTTAACAACTACCTTAATAAGTACCTATAGGGTTTCACAGTCTGCATTGACATTTGGAGATCATTTTATGATCTGTGCAGTCAGGTTTGATTAGACTAAGAAGTTGATTTAGATTTAAGACTAAGCATGGTTTCTTTAAATGGTATTTGCACGTTATTCTATAAACACATCTCACGAAGGTCTGAAACTAAACTTTAAAAATCCTTAAGGAAAATCTAGAACCAGATTACTTCAAATATCATTACAGTTTGGGGCGCAGATGGCCTAGTGGATAGGTCGTGTCTGTTGTACAGAGGCTATGTCCTCCAAGCGGGCAGACTGACCTGTGGCTTCTTTCATGCATCTCATTCCCACTCTCTCTCCCAGGCTTTCTACTCTATCCACTGTCCTATCACATAAAGGCAAACAAGAATAAACACAAAAAAAAGTATGATTACAATATCATTATGGAGCCAACACTAGATTGCTTCAAAATAGGAAGTAAAAAGACTTGGTATAAAACATTTGTCTTAGTAGTCCACAAATACACAAAAGCAAATGAAGGAAGGAGTAAAGTAAATTGTGAACCAAAAGGTGAGCTACAGTACAAGGCATCAAAAAAAAAAAACTTTTGTTTTTTACCCCTGAACTGAACACATTAGTCTATTTTACTAAGAATGTTCCTAAGCATTAGACTGTGACCTAAGGTAACCTAGAACCAGAGAAACACTGCCCAGGCCTTTTCCAACTTGTCCTGGATTAAACTATTAATGTGGATAACCAGTGGAATTAGTTCTGTTCATGGCTGATTTTCTGTGAGGTTTGAAATTCATTTCAACCGATAGAAAATGCAACATGCAAAGTAGTTTTTCTCTGGGTTTTTCAAATGTAATGGCAGGTCTTCATTTTTTACTAACGAACATGCGGTTTTTATTTTCTGAAAGTTTGTATTTTTTGATGATGGTATAAGGTATCTGTTCCAAACAATGCAATACAGCCTCCAAGTGTTTTCTTTCAAGTTCTGGTTGCAAAACAATGAGTCATCGCTGTATATTTAAGACATTGTCAACGCCTGCAGTAAACTGATGCATGGAGACATGAGGCTTTTCTCTCTATAGAGGAAGTGATAGACCTTTAACCTTCCAGATTTATTCACTACACAAACCCAACACTGTGCTCATATGCTTAACTCACAGCATTATCTGTGGACTGTCGTGTCCGCTGCTCTCTCTGCAAGAAGGGGGCTGAGCAGATGCTGTGACAGGAAGTAACTAACATGGTCCAGATGTAAGGACAGGAGACCACCCCTGACACAGCGTGGTCGACTATAGGCAGTGGAGGCAGGCATAAATAGGATCCCTGTGTGGAACAATGCTCAATCAGAAGAAAGTTGTTTGGTTAATTTCTGCAGTGCTGTACAGAAATCCTACTAGTGTATTTTTGTTGCAGTTTCAAGGAGTCTGATCTAACTGACAATAGAAATGGAATATATATTAAAGCTGTGTTCAAAAAGTGCTATTTGTGTGACTTTTTATATAGACAAGAGTTCAAAGGTAAATCCACATATTGAAGTTAGTTTGACTTATTTCCAAAGGTAATGGTTCAATAGTACCCCCTAGTGTTTCAAATGATGTAGTGCAACAAAAGCCACCATAAGCCCACAACAGTGTCTCTTTTTTTAATCAATACTAACCAGAAGCTGTTTTCTGTAAAGAAAGAAAAAGTCAACTGAGAAATGATCAGCTCATAAAAACTGTTGTATGGATATCATTTTACCAAAACAGTGGCATGATTAACCAACAGCTTTCAGAACATTGAAATTATTGAGTTATAATGGAAGATGTGAGTTGTAAACGTGATCAAACAGCAAACATATGTACATTATGACCATTCTGGAAATGCTTGGAGAAGAACTTGTAACAAAAACATGAAAACATCAATCTACTGCTCTTGAAACGGATGTCAAAAAAAAATTGCTTAATAGGATCTATTCATCCATGGGGGCCAATGTGGTTTTCCATTAACAGTTTCCTCCAGAGGGCTGTATGCACTTTTTATGTCTCCCCTGTCTGCAGTTTTAATAGTCCATTAAAGGAATCCTCTAATCCTCATCTTCCTCGTCATCGATTAAGACCATCTTGCGTCTGCGCTTGACAGGAACAGAGACATCCTCCCCGTCTGATTCTGCAGCGCCATTGGTCTCTGTATCCATTGCATCAGAGGAGTCATTTCTGTAAGACAGCAATGTGTGTGAGCCCAACCAGACTGTGATTTTTAAACTTATTGTGAAATCAGGAGTGAACACCTAAACCTCCTATGTTTAACAAGCTTTATGGCTGGGTGCATACACGGCCATTTTCAAACTAACAAACAATAAATGAATACTATTCTCCTCACCATCGTCCAAAACTCGGCTTCTTTTAGTTGAGGTCTTCTCTTGGGATCTAATGGTAACAGGAATAGATTAAGCATGGAAAGTATTCAGAACTTAAAATAGACATTTTGTCTGCTGGGTTTTGGATTAACCAAAATATAGTGCAATCCCTTACCTCTCAGGTGTACTTTGTGCATCCTCAACAGGAGTGGATTCTGACAAAAGAAAAAAAGATAGTTTTTAAATTGCTAATCTTATGCTTGTGGCAAGGTGTTACTGCTTTTTTATTTTCTTTCTATCCAGCATTTTGAGATGCAATAAAAAAAATTAAATTCTTCTTTTCCAATTCCAAGCTTACACACTTAATAGGATGTGACCAAAATAATATTCTTGAGGAAACATAAATTCTTGGAAGTTAAGCCACAGCAGGCTATTTGAGGCACCATGTAACTTAACACTTACCTACCAGACAAAGCTGTAATTAACTGCTGTCATCTGAGACAGGAAAATGAGGCTCCCACACATACCTGTCTGCTCGGAGGTGTGGTGTTTCCTCTTGCGTGTGAGCAGCAGAGCTCTCAGAGCCTGAGCTCTGCGTTCACCTGAGACCTCATCCTCATCCTCATCCAGCCCCTGCCCCTCCTCGTGAGTTTCTTCAGTTGGCGTCTGTGAATTGTTTTGCTCCTCGTCTCCTCTGGGTTCTTCTTCTTTCGGACTCAGGGCTGCAGCTGCACTTCTGAGCTGTGACTCACTTATTGTTTCAGGGATCCTCCAAAAAGACTCCTGTTAATAGAAAAGTGAAAAATAACTTACATTATATTTTACTACTGGCTGTTCAATCCATTATTTAGTTATTGTATTTGCAATAAAAAACCCAATAGGATCATCTCTCCATGATGGATTACAATAAATAATAATAAGTGTAAAGACATGGTGACTTTGTTGTACAAATTTGAAGCTATTCCCTAAAGGAAATCAGTAATAAAAATGGAACTGAAACAATGGCTTAAGAAAAGTTTTCTAGGACATTGTGAAGTGGAGTTTGCCTTTGTTCAGACGGGTAACAACCAAATTATTAGTTCATCCTTGACTCCTTATGGACATCTGAATCTGAGGCTGCTATGAAAATATTCCCCCTATGGGTGCAGGATAGCCTAGCAGTCATGTTGTACGTCCATATGTACAGAAGCTATGGACCTCGTTGCAGCAGCCATGGGTTTCATAAAAAAATAAAATATTCCTTCCAGGGGCATGAATGCGATGGGAAAACTGAAAACCTCCATAATCTCTTAAACCACGTCTGCCACTGGCGTAAGAAAAAAACAAAACAAAAGAAAACCACACACACCTGTTCATTTGCAGGTGCTCGCATTCCCAGTTTGCGCAACAGCTTCCTGAAGCTCTTGTTGTCCATGGCGTCTTCGTTTTCCTCAGTAAGAGGAACAAGTGCAACAGGCTGTGACAAACCTGGGGAATAGTTCATTACATTTAAATTAACAGACCAAATTATATCAATAAAAATGGCCACCTGGAACAGAGCTGAAAAAAAAAAAAATGTATTAAAGTATTTAAATACTTTTCTTTTTCTAACTTACCATCTTTTTCACGGTCACCTGCTGTTCTGTTAAGACAATTCTGCAGCCACAACATGGGCCCAGACATCCCTGTTTGAAAAAGACAACACCATGAAACCTTCAAAGGGTTCCCAATGTAAGAATGGTTTGGAGTTGAAATTATATTTCGTGAACAATCTATAACAGCAATGTCTTCATCTCATGAAGCAAAATGGACGTTAAGTGTTAATATTTTATACAATCAGGTTCAAGAACATACAGCAGTTAGGCCTCACCTTCCTGTTGCAGAGCCCACACCATGTTGCCTACGTCAGCTCTCTTTTCTACTGGCGAGTGCAGGGTTTGAGTCCGTCTTCCTTCATTTAGTGACGTTTCTCTTTTTTCTTCTTCCTCCTCATCTTCCTCACTCTCGTCAGACTCATCCTCTCCATCATCTTCATTATCTCTTTCCACGGGATCATCCGGGAAACCCTGTGTTAGACTTTCGAGGAACTCTTCTTCAGTCTGCAGCAGAAAATATTCAGTTTATCACCTGGCAGCAAATTCTTCAAATATTCTAAAAGACCACCTTTTTTTAATGACATCATTTATCTTGGATTAATCATTTTTCCACATCTTAATGTGATCCACAGTGTTACTGTAAAAGATGGAAGTACATCTGAATCAACTCTACCATTGCTGCTCCAGATCTCTTCCCTTGAGCGCTGCGGCTCCTCTTCTTATAAAGTTCTCGTCTCTCAGACACCAAACCCAAACTGAGCAGTTTGTCAACCACACGTGCGCGAGACCGCTTAGCTGTGAGCTTCTTCAGGATGTTACCCAGCACATCTGTTAAAATACAGGTGTTATCACCAGAGAGTCATTACACAGTCTATGTATTGTTTCAGAGTAAGTACTGGAGCTGAGGATAGAGGTACAGTATGAGGCTATAACTGTACACAATGATAATAATGTGTCTTGTACCGTCAGAGTCTTTGTACTCCTCAAAGAGCATTTGAAGCTCTTGCTCCTGCTCCTCGGTCCAAAGAACAATCCGGGTACCTATCCTGTTGTAAAAAAAGATTTAAAAATGTCATCAGCAAGTGGTTAAGATTTGCAATGTTTAAAACATTGTCAATACACTCTTCTCAACTTTAACATCAATATGTAACTCATCCTGTCACGGGTGCATACTTCTGTTTCTTCAGTTCTTTAGCATTGTCCACCAGTCCCATATGCACCAGCTGTGTCACTACCTGGCGTCGAGTGCGGCTGCTGTTGTTGAGTAATGGCAATAGGGTCTCCACTATATCTGGCACTAAACACAAGAACCAACAGTAAATAAAAGAACGCTAAGACTGAGAACCGTATGTGCGACTACATCTTGTAACTAATAATACGACAAACAGAAAAGCTGTGGAAACAAAGAGGAAGAAAGCAGACCCTCAGAATGACGATGCTCCTCGTAGAGCTTCCTCAACTCCTCTTCCTCCTCTTCGGTCCATGATGGTTTCTTTCCCTCTCTGACATATTTCGGAAATTAAGAGACACATTTCAAACTGCAGAACTCAAGACATTATTTTGTAAAAGAAAATCATTGTCGACAATGTCTTCAACTTTTACACAGGTGCATCTTTAGCCTGTAGGTTCATAAAAAATGGCCAGATTAATATGACAAATGCAGTACAAACAAACACAAACCCATCGTGGCTGTAGCCTTCGGTCATCTCTCGTACGGCCCCGACATTCTTCCAGAAGAGAAGTTCAACATATGCCTTGTTGTTTTTCGCTGCCACTGCAAAGAACTTGTTCAGCACAAACTTGGCAAAGGTCATCAGCTCCTGAAAAACAGAGAAAGTGGAACTCGTTGTTTTTGACCTTGCTTCCTGTGTGCTGCCCGCAGTATGAGTTTTTCCTCACGTCATAACCTCACCTTGTAAGCAGCTGCGGCGGGGTCACTGAGGATCTTGTTGAAAAGGTTGAATACTGACAGCTGGAAAAGCAGGGCGTCCATTTTCAGGTCGACGGCCAGGCGGTGCAGCATCCGAGCGATGCAGTGGTTTGTGTGAGGTGTGTTTTTTGAATAGGATTTCAATAAGAGGAGGTATGGACGCACAATACCAGGACTGGCAAACCTGAAAGAGGTACAAGAAAGAAGACATGTCCCATTAGGAAGTTCATAAAAATATATTTTGCATGCAGTCAAAAGTGTTGCATGTTGTTTTTTTAGAATCCCCCTTTTCTTACCTCTTGATAAAGTCTAGAAAGTTAAACTCCTTTTCAGAAACCTGAATATTCTCCAACTCTTCCTCCTCTAACTCCACTGCATCATCATCATCATCAACCTCCTCTGCTGCAGGCTCAAGAGGAGACGACCCTAAAATAAAATAAAAAGTCAAAGTTTGAATTCTGCACAGAAAAAATAATCATGTAAATGTACATTTGAAAAGTCTTACTTGGCAGGTTGGCATGCAGGATTTGCTTAAGGAGCTCCAGTTCCTCTTCAGGCTCCACATCGACAGAGCCAAACACATCACCCTCAGGCCACACCTCCCTGAGTGAGACAAGATGATGAATACTCAAACAGAACTAATGTGATTAATCTGAGGGGTCGATAGCATGTTGAGACTTGCTGACCTGGCAGCACGCAGCAGTCCCAGTGCTTCTGGTCCCAGTCGAGCCAGGAGGGCATCCTGCACCCGCACCATGGCCTCAGTCCTCTGCTCCTCAAGTGGAGTTTCAGATGTGGCATCAAATGGCACGATGCTTTCTGTCAACGACCCTGACAGCTGCACACAGAAAGAAGTGTACATCAAGTAACGAGAATTTGGCCTTAAAAGAGCTATATCATCCATCTTTAAAGCCATAGACTCTTGTACAGAATCTTGCATTGAACAGTATCCACACTCTGCTAACCCTTTAGCTTGATTTTCACACTGACCTGATAACTGGCGGCCTTCAGCTCCTCCTCTACAATCTTCCAGGTCTCTTCGAGGGCTTCTGGACTAGTTTCTGTAGCTGGCTTTCTTCCACGCTGAGACCTTTTGCGCCTCACCTTTTTCCTCTGCAGAGATAAGAGAGCCAGATATTCATTTTGAAAGATGGTGCTAATGGTAAGAAGTTGCACCAGATATGTAGCCCAAAAGCTTACCTGAACCATCAGGTTTCTGCGACCTTTGCAGAAGCGCTCTAACATGCGCAAGAAGAGATGAGTTGACTCTACCAAATCTTTGAGGTAGGACTGAGGCTGTCTGGTTTCGTCATACTTCCTCAGGAGAGTCAGGAAAATCTCCCTGTATTCCATCAGGTAAAATATGTTACCTAGAGAGAGTGAAGAACAAATAGATAAGGCTTCTAGCACTACAGTTACATGCAAACCCTTTAGACGGAAAACATTTAAATTGATAGGTAATACATCTTCACACTTTGCAACATGTGAAAACACATCATCGTTTAGTCTTAGGATAGCGCCGATTTTTTGAACTGAGGCTGTATGCTTAAACTGTATTAAACATGGACATAGTCTCAGTGACATCATCCATTGGTTAAAGCCGGTTGAAGCCCTGGCAGTTGCAACGTTTATTAGTTTTTGAAATTGCAGAACTGAACAGCTGATCTTAGCATTGCTGGCAGAGGAAAACGTATGTGTGTCACGAGATAGTGCTTAAACAAAGCGGCTTGCTGACGGCTAAGTAAAGCACTAGAAATGTTCTAATTAAAGTGTAGATTTGCATGGTCATTGATTTTGAGGTTGCTTTTGATTAAAATCAGCTAAAGTTGAGGTACAAATGGCTCTTTCTGCAGCGACATACATCCTCGCTTCCATGCTGGAACTCTGGTTTCTTAACGAAGGGGTAGAGCTGACTGGCATCTCTGGTGGCACTTAGTTTTGGCAAAGCTCAAACCCCTCAAAGCCACGCCTTAACATCCTAAACGCTGTCATTCAAATGTATGGCTGGAACCAGTATTCCTTTTGAACCAGTGCTGTTAGCATATTACTTTTTATAACGTTGGCACTCTGACGGATGCTTCCATCCTGGGAGCGGTCCATCTCGTTCACAGTCAGCAGCAGTTCCTGGTATGCCTTTAGTGCCAGGTGCATCCTTGAGAGAACAAGTGATATCATCAGACCGAAAACAAAACAGATAATGCATCGCTTTTTCTAAAACCTGTCCTTCAGAATCTCCTTACCTGCGTGACCAGGATGTCGCCTCTTTGCGATCTGTGAGAATCATCTCATAGTAGTTGGTGATGTTTCGCTCCATAAAATGAAAAGCACGGATGGACACTGTCTCAGAGACTAAGTCAGCCCGAAAACCGTTGCCACGATTGAAGGCCATGAAAAAGCTGAGCGCCCAGAGGTAGTACGTTTCATCGTGTTGCTGAGTTTGCTCTCGAATGAGACTTTCCTGTAGATGAGTCAAAAAGTAGTATAGTCATGTATCAGACATTCTCATTAAAATATGTGATTTTATTGTTATGTATGGTAAAGGCTGGTTTTGGTCTGTAAGCCTATGATAAAAAAAATATTCGTCATTCATGTTACAGCAGCCGACCTTGACAAGGTACATGAGATGATTGTAGCAGTTCTCCAAGAAGTCCACACAAAACTCTCGCAGGAGGAGTCGAACATTCAAAGCTGAACGGCGTTTGTCTTTACCCTCCTGAGCCTGTCGATTCCTCTTAGGAACACGTCTTACTGCTTTGCCTGTGTCGTGAGTGTAATTCTTGAACTAAAAAAAGAAAAGGAAGACATATTCAGAAATTGATACCAATATTGTTTAGAAACGCACAAACACATCTTACCATATACTGTGTTTTATGGAGTTGATGACTCACATTATGAAGGTTTCTGTGATAAATCACATCTTTGTCCCCAATTGACTTCAGCCCTTGAACAACATACGAGCCTCCAAAGCGAGAGTGTCTAAAAGTTAAAATATACATCAACATACACATGAACAGAACAAAGCGTATTTCCTGCTTGAACACAAGTAAATCAAACAAGCCATTTAATGGTTGAGTGTTCCCCCTCAATTAATATCTTCTTTAAAAACCTCTTGAGCAATAGGACATACAGAATGTGGGGCAGAATTTGGTGGTCTAGGAGTTAAGTCTTGCCTCATGTACAGAGGCTATACTGTAGTTATCCAAGCAGACGGGCCCGTGTTCAAGTCCGACCCGCGGCTTCTTCACCACATGTCATAGCCCAATTTCTCTCCTGATTTTTTACTATATCCACTGTCCTATCTAAATAAAGGTGAAAGCCCAAAAATAAGCATTCAGAATATTTATGACAAGATAAAATAAAACATTAGATTGTAGAGGTGTGATACATATTCTTATGATTGAGGTGGAGCGCACAACTCTTGAAATTCTGCTACTCGCTTGTGTTGCTAGATCAAAGTATAAATGTATTCTTATCCGTATTAGTGCAGCTCTTTGAAACTGTTTGGCATCAGCGGAACTGTACCTGGTTCCTCTTTGTAAGGTACGAGAGTGTTTTTCCGCGAGCTCCTTCTGCCTCAATGCCTCCAGCTCCTGAGAGTCTCTGTGTTTCTCTTCTGCTGAACGAGCCTGACCGGCGCTCACCAAAGCTTCTGGCGTCTGTAGGACATCAATAAAAGATCAGGCACAAAACAGCAAAAGATCTATACGAGTCCTTACTAGAGGTTCGTCACACTGACCTGGTCTCTAAACATGAGGGAAATGATCTCCAACACGTGCATACTCCACTGCTGCTCAGTCTGAGCCGACGCCAGGAACTTGACCAAGTCATCGAAGCCGCTCATGTGAATGGCCCACAGCAGCCGATCATGAACGCTTGCATCATCGTCCACTTTCTACAGGAGAAACAGAGGGGTTGCTGATGGATAGAGGTGAATTTAAGTGAAAATAAAAGATCTGCCTGTCTTTGAGTCAACTTTAAGATACATTAAGCAGTGTTACGTATAGGTTCACATTGATACCCATGTTAAAATCAGACCTTCTCTTCACAGGGGTCTGCTGGTACATGAAGCACGTTCCTAACCAGCAGCAGGATCCTCTCTATCAGCAGGTTATCCTCCTCCTGCCTCTGATCCCAGTCCTAAAAGAGACACAAAAATGTCACTTTCACATACATCATGTAGGAGACTAAAATTAGTGATTTTGACCAGAGAAACACTCACCAGTTGTAGAAGGTTGTATAATATTTCACTTAAAATGCCAAAAACTTTCTCACTGGAAAACGCCTATAAATGAAGGCAAGAGACAAAAAAATACTCATTGTTATACAAAAACATTTAAAATATGTAGAAATCTTTGGATAGTAATGGCAGCCCTGTATCCAAAATTAAAGTGCCATAATTCTAAGAACACGATACCTCTTTATAGGCCTGCAAATGAGATGTCACTTGCAAAAAGTGATGCCTAAACACGGGGTCATCTGGGACTTTCCCAAAGCAAAGCATGGCAGGCTGAGTGAGGTTGACCATGAGCCTACAAAAAAAAGACGTTTTTTTTCGTATTCACAATCTTCTACAGCTATTTATAATAACATATTATGTATTTGAGCACTGATTGATTGTTCCAGTCATCTTTAAAAATTCTTGAGCTCATAAGTTGAGCAGATTGTTTACCTAATGCAGGCATCAAATAAGGCCTTATCTTGTCCATGTTGAATAATAATTGGCAGGATGTCATTTTGTACAATCTGGCCGGCTCCCAGCTGCTGACGGACGTCACGGGTGTCATCTTCATGCCGTAGATACCTGATCAAGTCTTTGACACTCTCTGCAACACAGAGAGAACCGTTTGAGGACGACATGTGCAAATGTTTTTTTTGTTTGTTATTTATCCATATAAAATCACTCACCTAAGCAATCAGCTTCCTTGTGATAGGTGTCTCCTTCCAGATAACCAAGAGCACTGCACGTTGCCAAAAGTTCGCAATTCATTCTGAGCAAGCCAATACACCATCAGACAGCTTACAGGTGAAGGGTCGGCCTAGTAATAGAAATATGAACAGAGCTTAACCTCAAATATCTCTGCTCACTATAGCGTTTCAAATTCAAAAGAACTTCATTTGTCCCCGGGGGGCAATTCAAAGGCACACAGAGCAGTAAATTAACAACAGTGCAAGTAAACAAAACATTTTAACCTAAATATAAAGTGTCAATTTAAATACAACTTAAAGCTTAAACTTAACTTAAAAATACAAAATATAATAAGAGTAGATATAAGTGGACAGTGATCGGACTAACAGACGTAAACAGAACTATGTGCAGTAAACGAGAAATAAATATATGCGTTTAATTTGTATTAAAGTAAGAAATATTTGATAATGGGCGTCAGTCTGCACATGAAAGGTTATGTGTTAATCAAAGAGTTTTTCTTTCTTTAATTGAAGAAAAACAAAACCAAACGAGGTTCCTCCGTCACTCGTCGACTTACTACTGTCAGCTCTGACAGCTTAGTAAGGTTGCTCATACATTTGTTGACTTCATGCAGTTTAAGTAGGCTACTTAAGGTATTTATAGTTGTTATCTACAACTTCACAACATGTGTCGACTTTTATTATGACGTAGAATATTCTATGTTGATATCAGCGACCGTGTAAAAGTGTACAAAGGAAGGATCCTCCTCTCTACATAATGGTGATGTTATGCAGCAGGAGTAGTTCGCTTCACTTCACAGCAGCAGCTACACAATGATTCGAGTTTGTTTTAGCAGCAATAAAAAAAAATTGCTAACTTACCCAAATGTTCAAATATGGCTACTCTGCTTGTATCGTGTTCAGCAACTGGTGTTGTTAAGTTAAGAACTCTTCTGTAAGCAAAGTAAGATGTTTGTTTCAGAGAGTAGTTTCTCAAACTCCTCGGACAAATCTACAAGTAGCGCGCCAAGATCTCGCAGCGAAGACTCAAAGCGGATGTAGAATGTCGTCACATCCACGTGAACATGTTGCCATGAATTTTGTATTTCAGGAATGGTTGCTTCTTAGTTTCGCCTACTCAATACAGTCCAGAATAACCAAAATCAATATATGTTTGTTTTCGGATGAGATAAGGAATACGAATTCAGGGCTACAACCAATGGTAGGCAGTTATATGCGCCAGATTGTAGTGAAATACTTGCAGTTATAACTCCTGTGTTGCCTGAAAGGCTGTACTTAGGGTATACACAACACAAGTTAAATTGAACGAATCCATACCTGTTATCATTTGCTTTTCGAAATTCAGTGACATCGTCGATTGAACGCCACTATACATTTGGTGATTCTGGATAAAATGTGATATTTGTTGACATTGTTGGTGTTATGTCAGCATACAAGCCCCACAAGATTCAGTCATTAACACTGACAAACACCTCTAGAAGTGACAGCAATCTGCTTGACATCTCAATTCAAAAGGCCTGGCATTCCTAGGAGTAGAAGGTACTGTTTAATTTCACTCAAAACACATAGCTTTCTGCATTAACTAGGTGATGAATTGATTAAAGGTGTTGACAGGTAACAAGAATTACACGATGGGTCGTTGTGATTTGAATACCTGCCTGCCTTAAATAGGCTACTGTGCGTTTGAGAAATCACAGGCCTATGTGCTGTTCAGGTGATACCATAGGTGGGAAAGATTTTCACCCAAAGCGTGAAAGGGGTCTGACAAATGAAAATAATTGCATCCCTCAATTTTTAAAAACTACAAAACTCACTCCCCTTTCCCCTCTTCTGAGCTTGTTGTGTGACACGCACTATGCCACTTATTAAAAGAAGTAGGCCGAGCACAAGATGCAAAAAACAAACACTTGATTCGTTCGTTGTTCGTTTACTAATAGTTTCATGGACAAACAATATCTGCTTCAATTAGGTTTATTTGCACTTAAATTTTCATTCATCAGTCTGCCAGGTACACACAGCATTGCAAAGCACATTCAGCAAGTTACTTGGTGGCTGTCATATTTCAGTGTCAACATTTTCTTTTTGTTTCTTATTTATTAATCACGTTGGTCATTTGTCTGAAATAAGTTAATAGCAAAGCGTTGTGAACAAATGCAGGTAGCTCAACTAATTCTCTTTCTTTGTTTTAATGTGTATTGACCAAAGGGCAGTGTCTGATGTTTTGTTAGTTAGTCATATGACTCAAACTACTAAATTTCGGCATTTATTTATTCCTATATTAGCCTGTAGTGTAATACTATATAAACATGTGGACTTCTAAGAATTGCACAGGATTGCACTGAAAATCAAGGCCTCAAGTGGTATGTAAATAAAGGGGTTTTGCTCAGCCCTACAGATGATAACAATTGTTCAGCAAAAGTTGGGTGGCTTAATTAGCACCAGAGTGACACTCTCTAAAGGGAATTTTTCAACATTGCACCTATACTGCACTGGGAGACTTTCTGCTAGATAATACAACTAGTGGGAATGCTCGGATCAGAATTTGGTCTTCACATTGTTTCTCCTTATTTTCTGATGGCTCTGGCTTTCACATTTTTTATTGACTCTACTCGTCGTCATCATCCTTGTCAATACGGCCTGAGTCCCTTTCCTTCTCCCTCCTGGATTCCTTCACAACCTGATGAAAAAGAAGACAGATTTGTTAAATATAGTTCCAATATCAACAACAATTTCCAAATAGCATAAAGGTAGACTTTTGCATTTTGTCATATTCCTATAAATGATTGTACCTCTCCATCTCTGGTCTCGACTGTCTTTATCAGCACAGTCCTCTTGCTGTGGGTGTCCGGAGTTGGTTCATAATCTGTAACATGTCACATAAGGCTTTTGTTAAATCTTACATTCACATTCAAGATTCACTTCCAGTGTTGAATTAGAAAGAATTACTGGGTCTCTATGTTGTGTTAGATGTAAGAGTAGTTTTAAGGAAATACTTGTAATAACTTAAATCTTTTTAGTTGTTGTTCAGTTCTGAAAGAATTAGGTATTATCTCAACTGCAACTTGCAGATAAAAGAGAACTTCTTAGAAAGTAAGTTAAAATGAATCAAGCAGCTGTTGTGTCAATTTCTTTGGCCCTTTGCAAAGCGGTAAGTCTTTACTCTTTGATGATCCTGCCTTGTATTTTTTTTTTAGTATTACCTAAAGGAAAATCTCCCCCTGCTGCTATTCGATTGTCTTACTACTCACTATGAAATGAAGGCATTTAAGGTCTGCAGAAATACAGAGAAAACATTTAAACGAGAACAAATGACTCGTCTGACTTCGCAACTCTGTTTTAGTTAGGAAACCCTGGCGCTTATAACATATTTGATGTTGGGTAAAAGGAAACTTTACTTACCTCGGTCACCAAAGTGATTGCTCATGCCATATTCATCATGGGAACAGTAATCCTAGACAGAGAATATCAAATGTTGGCGTTATAAACTAATCTGTAATGAAAAGTTAGATCAGAGTTACTCTGAAGGTTGAAATAGACATAGAACGTAAACTGGAAACTATGTTTTTCTTCTAATCAAGAAACAAATATAACTAAAATACAGTAAAGATAGATCAATTTAGACTTGAGCCAAGGTTCATTTCTCCTTACCTGCTCTCCTCACCCTCCAGCAGTTTACGGTAAGTAGCAATCTCAATGTCCAGTGCCATTTTGACATTGAGGAGGTCCTGGTACTCGCGAAGGTGGCGAGCCATCTCCTCCTTCAGGTGGCGGATCTCATCCTCCAGCCTCCCTACGTTGTCTTGGTAGTTGTTAATTTCGCCGCTAAACTGGTCCTCCATTTCACGCATTTGCCTCAGCAGGGCTTCATTCTGAAAACATTTAATGCAATGGAGAGTTGGAATTTTAAATATGAAAGAGTGTTTATTGATATAGACACAAGACATTTGGTGTTTAGCATCACCGTGTTCTTCAGAGCATCTATTTCACAGTTGAGAGACTGAATCTGCCTCCTGGAATCATTGGAATCCTGCTTGGCCTGCCTCAGAGCATCAGTATTGCGCTTTGCAGACTCAGTTAAATCAGCAAACTGCAGAGGCAAAAAGAAAAAGCACACAAATGTTAATACGGGTTTGTGGGTGGGTGTATGTTTCTTTCTGTGTATCTGTCTGCTGACCTTGGACTTATACCAATCCTCAGATTCCTGCATGTTCTTTGTGGCAATGTTCTCATACTGGGCCCTGATGTCCCTCAGAGCACCAGTAAGGTCGGGCCTGGCACTGCTGTCCACCTCCATCTTCAGCTGATGGGTTTGGACACTCACTTGGACATCCTGGATTTCCTGATAACACCAGAACATGTTTAAACAGTTAGAACATATCATGGAATCACAAGACCCTTGTATCAAGTAATTATGCACAGATGCATTGTTTTAACATCGGTATCGCCCAATATTGGCCCTGAAAGACATCAGCCCATCAGCAAATAATGTGGCATGAATGTTTTTTTCTCTTGTGTCATATCATTTTAATGATGACATCTAGTAAACCTAATTACTGATTCAAAGAAGAGTTTTTTTTACAAGTCAACCGTTGGACAGACTGTCATCTGTTCTCATGGTCAAACAAGAGAAAATGTTGGCAATATGGGGGTCTTGCACCAAAAGTTTGGGCAATTCCCTAAATTGTTATTTGTAAACATCGGTATCAGACCTGATTTTTACAATTGGTACATCTCTCGTAACAAGAGCTTGCTAACAGTTGTTCTTTCTCTTGAAGCTGAAACAGTGACACGGTGTAAAGAACCAGTGTAAGTGTAAGTGTCAGATTCCTCCAAGGAGCTGCTTTTGAACTCTTTCTACATACATTTCTACATATATCTACAATCAGAGCATATATGGGTTTACCATGGAGTCTAAGAAGTCAGATGCTTGGTTTTATTTGCACATGCAAAATATAAGTATTGCCGCATAAATTATGTACTACACCACCATAAAGACCCCTATACGATATAAAGCTGCCTTTTTGAAACCGTCCAGTTTGATACCATGTTGGTTTTGGGACAAAAATTGGCCATATTTGAACAGGTTGTAGCTGGAGAGGAGCAAAGGGTTGAAAAAGGCTAAGCTATCAAGATTTATTCATCAGCTGGCATATAAACTAGATAATCATCAAATGTCCGATTTAATGCAGTTCTCCATTTGGTGGTTATTAATCTGAGTTGTATGTAAAGTCTGTGGATCAGGGTTGGAATGTTGCTCACTGGTTGGTAGGCGCACATCGGTCTTCTAATGACTATAGCTGGCCTTTTTCTCTAAAGGAAATAGTGGCCTTTTAAGTGACTCCAAATCCATTTTGGGTACCAGGTTATCAATGTTTATTTCTCCAGTTAATATGGATATAATAAGCCTTTTATATGCCATTTCATCTGTTTCTCCATTGGGATTAGCTCACTTTTGGAGCCAGCCTCAAGTGGCAATTTAAGGAACTGCAGTCTTTTGCACTTGTGAATTTTCTTAAAGGCCTATGCCACTTTCAGAGCAGATTTTCATGGACGAAGTCTCAGTGACATCACACATTGGTCTCTGAACAGCTCTTTGGAAACCCATTCATGGCGGTTATGAAATTAGAAATGCTTGCTCAATCAAACTTTGAGTCAACCTAACAACAGGCAAAGAACTAGAGCTGACATTTTTACATAAGGATGTATGGGACTTCCAGGTTTGTTTGAGCCAGCCTCAAGCAGATACTCAAGGAACTGCATAGTTTAAATTACCTTTTGTTAAAAGTTGTTACTCTATAACATATTAATATAGGCAATATTTTATTTTTGCCATATTGATATTCACAGTGTTGCATATTATGCCGTAAGTTTCTTATCCTTTGAGGCTGATACTTGATGTTGCTATTGAAGCTATCCAGATAACATATTGTGATAGGGAAAAGGACGTATCTGTTATAGAATCACAGTGGAATTGTTCAGAGGATGAAACATCACTTACTTCATCATGG